ACAGTGGAATCCACAGCCTTTGGCTATGCTTAATTTAAATTTGGCCAAGAGTGCCATTATTCTCAAGCCACATCTTTAAATGCCAGCTGAAAGTGTCTCTGATTAGTGAGAAACAGAAGGCCCAGCCTGAGCTCTCACTCTCCCAGATTTCTGCCCTGGTGTCATCCACATGGGGTGGAACTAATCTATGACCAAGAGACCCCAGGTGACAAAAGCGGAGGCAGTCTCCTCCTGCTGGCTCCTGGCTCAATCCGAGGGTGGCAGCCTGGACATTAATGTCCTGAGGACACCAGGGGTCCTTGCAGCACAGTGCTGCCTGGGAGGAGCCCAAGTCCTCTCCTCTGCCAGTGAGCCGCCTGGAAGCCACCCGGCCACCCCAGCAGGGTCCCGGCTCATGCAGGCTTCAGAGAGAGCCTGACCCGCAGAGACTGTGAGCAGCAGTGGACCCTGTATTTTAGGTCACGGCATGCTGGGGCATCTTGTTTCACAGCAGTGGATAAGTCTCCAGAAATTTCACACAGGCAGAATAAAAAATACATAGATAATAGAGAAAATACACACACACACACACACACACACACACAATACATTGGAATTCTGAACCTACAGTTCTTCCATTCTTCTGTAGTTTTGTCAGCCTCCACAGTATGTTTAGAATTTCGCAAAAACGCAGTCACCTGAAATAAGGAGACATTGAGATTTAAGGGGTTCTGAGTGATGTTTCAGTTATTTCTATGCTTTTTTTTTTTTTTTTTTTCGGTACCAGGGATCGAACTCAGGATCTTGTGCATCTGAGGCAGGCATGAAGCCCCTGAGCTAAATCCCCAGCGAAGAACTCTATTTTTTTGGTAGTGTAGTTTCTGTCCTTAAGTTCGAGCCATACAAGGGCATTCTACAGCAGTTACATCCCAGAAGCGCCCCCTTCCCACCCCCTTTTTGAGACCATTGTTTAGGCTGGTCTGTGAACTTGTGATCATCTTGCCTCAGCCTCCGCAGTAGCCAGTTACTGTAGTGCGCCACCGCGTGTAGCTTCTTTTAATTTCTCTCTCTCTCTTTTTTCTTTCTTCGAGACAGGTTCTCCCTGTGTAGTTCAGGCTGGCCTTGAACTCACTATATAGCCCAGACTGGCCTGGAAATATTGGGGTCAAGCGATTCTCCCGCCCTAGCCTCCTGAGTATTAGCGGAGACTACAGGCGCGCGCCAACACGGCCCGCTTTTAAGTCATTTCTTTAAAGATATAAAAGAGTAAATAAGAAAAAAAAGATAAAGAGAAGAATCCTAGTGTCCGCTCGTTTTGCTGCAGTGGGGAAGAGGGAAAGACAGCTTTATGTTCGCGAATCGGCCTTAAATATCCCAGGCCGGGAGTTCGGCATCCAGCTGTACCTTTCTGTGTACAGCCCGGATGGACGCCTCAACCCAGTTAAACTGTTGGTATAGCAACCACAACCGGTTTTTTTTTTTTGAAGGGGACCTTTTTCTTTGCTACCTTAGATGGCTACCGTAGTGCCTCTCTCAATTCCCAAATACTACATAGTGCAGCTAAATATTGCAGATGAAAGGACTTTGGGAAAGAATTCTAGGAGTGCTGTTGAATGTGGCTTATTTTAGCCCGAAGACGCTTTCAGTAGCGTGTTTTCACGGCGTTCGCGGAGGATGCCTAAAACAGGGGCGGGGCCGGGAAGAGTTTTTCCCACAAGGCCACGCGGTAGGGCCTCGGCCTTCTCTTTCCGCCATCTTGGAGTTTGTGGAGGTGAGGGGGGCGCCGGGTACCGGACATGGGGCCAAATAACCGGGGTCGGTTTGCCCAAATACCACGGCAAGTGCCTGGGGCGTCTCGGAGACTCTGCCATCCAATGATTTCCGTGGATTCCAAGAGTAGGGAGGACGGGATGGAGGAGATGCAAAGCAGATAGTGCTGGGTCCCTGATGCCGGGAGAACCGAGTGCCCGGGTAATCGGAGTCGGGTCCTGGGAGTACTGAAATAGGTAACTCTTCAGTTGTCTACAGTTGGCCAGAGAGCAGTGGCTCCTCCTTTAAGCAGGTTTTCCCCATTTGTTCCCACTTCAAATCTATCTTTGTCCACAGTCTCCAGCTTTTCCCCACCCACTGCTTCAAAAGCCTCTGTGCTTCTCTGTCTGCTTCATAAGTCTTCATTTTAAAATTAATTTGGACTACTGATAGCGGCATGAGCTGTCTCCGGATTTTTCTTCTGAAATCTGTAGTACTTTACTGTGTTGCTGTGGCACTTAGTTTTGTCCTCATTTTGGAGTTTGCTTAGGTATCAGTTCAGTCCTCTGTGGTTTGAATGAGTTGCCAGGCTGTGTTCCCTATGTAGATGCTATGGCATAATTAGGTTTCTTCAAACTAACGCAAAATGCCAATCAGGAAGGGATTTGGTTAACCGGCTAATAAGTAGCAGGAAGTTACAAGGGGAGAAACTTAAATTGTTTGGTTCTAAACTGAGTCATTTTTATTTAAGGCCTGCTGGGAACAGGACTTCTAAAAGACAAACATGTCTGGAAGGTAAGCGTTTTAAATATACTTACTTTGTTTTTCAATTCAGTGTAAACCTCAGTGAGCTTGAAATTAGTGGGAAAATACTTGGTGTTTGCTGTAGATGACTTTTGGGCAACGGTCATTACAAGTCATTATATTGGTGGTTTTTTGGGAGATAAACAACATCTTTCTAACAGCTTGTGTTTAATGTCACGTATTTTGTGTGTCTTAGACTGTGGTGCAAGGCCATTTTTGCTGGCTATAAGCGAGGTCTCCGGAACCAAAGGGAACACACAGCTCTTCTTAAAATTGAAGGTGTTTATGCCCGCGATGAAACTGAATTCTATTTGGGCAAGAGATGTGCGTATGTGTACAAAGCGAAAAAGTAAGTTTACAGCTTGTTATGCTTGGGAATTTTTATTTTCTCTGCCTCATTTTTTTTTGTTGAAAGACTTAAAGTGCTTGGTACCATGGCTTCTACTTTTGGTTTTAACTTCACGGAAAGTTAAGAAAGCTTTTGTGGATAGTTTTATTTAGACATCTTCAGCACTTAGAAAGATTATATCTGTTAATTGTTTCAAGGAAGGAGTTAATTCCTTGTGTTGTTCTCAAGGATTTACAGAATATTTCTCACATGTTAATTCATTTTGATTCCTTGACAATAATATTTATTAATTTTGGGGTTTTTTTGAGATAGGGTCTCACTGCGTAGCCCAGGCTCACCTCAGACTTGGAGCCATCCTCTTGTGTGCTGAGATTAAGGGTGTGCAACCATGCCCAGCAATTAAAAAAAAAAAATTAAAAAAAAAAAATATATATATATATATTTATTTTTTTGGTACCAGGGATTGAACTTGGGACCTTGCACTTTCGTGGCAGGCACCGGAACCACTGAGCTAAATCCCCTGCCCTGAATATATGCTTTAAGGTGTTAGATATGTAAAGCATTTGAACCCCAGCTCCAAGGCTTGAACCCAGGACCTTGCACATACTATGCGTGCCTCTACCACTGACCTGTAACCCTAGCCCAGAATGTTGGTTCTTGATTTGGATCCGTAGCCTATTCCAGACCAGTTACACTCTCTGAGGATGGAGTTCTGTGGCACGCACTTGGTTGGCTAGCATGCACAGGCCCAGGGATCAATCCCCAATTCCTCAAGTCTGGGGAGATATTTTAATTCCTGCCCTCCTTTCTTCAGCCAGACTGTTGCTTTGAGATTATAAGTGAGGCCATGTGTACCTAGCCTCCAGGATTCACCTCATTCAGGCAAAACCAAAGACATTAAGGAGCCTCCAAGAACCTATGCACCGAGGGTGGCGCTTGGTGTCCTTGTCACCACCTGGGAGGCACTTCCTCTTGGGGTCTTTAGCACTCTGTTAGGTCTCTCCTGGTCATACCTTGGTAATAGATACTGTATCTAATGATATTCCAGACATTTCTTAAAGTTTCTTGGGTCCTTCTAAGTGGCCAACCAGAGTTGAGCCACTAGTCTAGAGGTCTTGAAGAATTTGTATCAAACTGTATCAGTAGCTTGAGTTCTCATTCCTCTTCTGTGTACCTTTAAAATCAGCAACACAGTGACTCCAGGTGGCAAACCAAACAAAACCAGAGTGATCTGGGGAAAGGTAACTCGAGCCCATGGAAACAGCGGCATGGTTCGTGCCAAGTTCCGAAGCAACCTTCCTGCTAAGGCCATTGGACACCGAATCCGTGTGGTAAGGACAGTTATTAGTAGAGCGAGCCTCTGGAGTCAAACCAAGTCTGAAGAGTTGGGCTCTGACCCCCAAAGACTTTTGTGATTGTGAAATGAAACTAGTAAATTGTGCTGCAAAATCAGTGACCATTATGTAAATGAGTATTATAGAACATCTGATTCTTTTCATGTTAAAGGAAAGTGAAGACAAAGTGTTCAAATGAATTGTGCGTGTTTTAGATTTCACTAAAGCTGTCTGGAGAAAAAAGTATTTTTTAAAAAATTATTTATTGGGGGAAGTACAAATTCAATACATCTTTCCCTGGCATAATTCTTAATATTTTACCATTTCCCTGGTGTCTTATGGTGGGGTAGATGTCAGCTAATTTTTGTACATAGAACAGATGTTCACATTCCTACCTCTCAGGACTTTGGAGCAAGTCTTGTGGCCAGGTGCTGAGATTTTTCTCAGATAATTCCAGCTTTTTCTTTAGTTAGGGTCTTTAAGTAGATAGTAATTTTTGGGACCTGGGTTACTGGTTATTTGTGTTTGTTCTTGTTGGGGGTTTTTGTTTGTATGTTTGTTTTTTGAGATGGTCTTGCTATGTAGTTCAGGCTGGCCTTGAACTCACTATATAGCCCAGGCTGGCCTCAAACTAATGGCAGTCGTTCTGCCTCAGCCTCCTGAGGCCACCATGCCTGGCATCCATGAGGTACTGTTGAACCCTGTGAAGAGTTGATGCTTGTCATGAGGGTTTTTAATTCAGTTATTTCAGCCCCCCCACCCCAGTACCGGGGATCGAACTCGGGACCTTATGCTTGCTGGGCAGGTGGCGGAACCACTGAGCTAAATCCCCGGCCCTTTAATTCAGTTATTAGAAGAAGCAAAAGTAAATGTATTTTCTGTGCTTGTTTAGAAATGCAAACTCTTAATTAAAGATGTTCATATAGAAGACAAGTGTCATAAAAATTTGATTCTCTTGCCCTAAGGACATATCATTTGATGTCTTTCCCAGATGAGTAATGAGATGACAGTTATCCCTGTTAGGGTGTTCAGTAACATCAGTAGATTTATATGACATTCACCTAATGTTTTTGTGTTCTTTTTTCCCCCCAGATGCTGTACCCGTCAAGGATTTAAACTAATGAAAAATAAAAGTGGATTTGTGCTCTTGTATTTTTTAAGTGGCTTTAAAAACTTACTGTCCTGAATTATGTTGCCATATGGGAAAGGTTGTCCGGCATTTTCAGAGTACAAGGAATTGAGAGAAGTGTGCAGCGGTCATTATAGGACTGTTAAGGACATAGAGGATAATAGGGATTTTCTGTGAGTACCAACACAAGTGGATATTGAGGAGGTTAAATACGCTTTGGGGGAAGTGGTACAAGTAACCGAAAGAAGTATAAAGTTCTCTCAGGAGCTGGGGGTGTGGGTCGTGGTAATCTGTGCAGTCTGGAGGCCCTGGTTCTACTGCACTGCACAAAGGAAAACTGAAACAATGCAGTGGTCTGTACTTGTTCGTGCAGACTAGTGGGGAGGCTTAGGAGAAAATGGAAGTTGGAATGATCCCATTGGGGATTGGATTGCTGGTGTTTGTAAGCTCATTCCGATAGCAAGGGTATGGTCTTCAGGTGTGTGACTGAGCAAACCATTCATTGTCGCTGGACAGAGTAGCTGTAGGCTGAAAATGTCACATTGATACCACCTCAGAAAAAATAGCACCAGTCAAGTGGCTTTCCTTGGTTTTTTTTTACTTTGAGACAGGTTCAGTAGGTTGGCAAGCCTGGCCACGGGTTCATCCTGCCTCAGTGTCCCAAATTGGAGATACATGCACATGCTGTGGTACCAGGCTTGGTTTCATGTTTTAATAGAATATGGTGCCTATTGAAGGATTTTAGCATGTCACGAAGGTAAGCAGGGCACCAGAATTTTTTTTGTACTGGGGATTGAACTCTCGACCTTGTATTTACGAGTCAGGTGGCTGAACCACTGAGCTAAATCTGTGGTGCCATGTTGTTTTTTTTTTTTTTTTGGTACCGGGGATTGAACTCAGGTCCTTGTGCTTGCGCAGCAGGTGGCAAAACCACTGACCTAAATCCCCAGCCCTCCCCCATAATGATTGTTTGTTTGGTTGGTTGGTTTTTTGGTACCAGGGATGGAACTCAGGACCTTGTGCTTGTGAGGCAGGCATTGGAACCACTGAGCTAAATCCCCGGCCCCTCCCATAATGTTTTAAAGTTCAGCGATAATGTTTAAAAAATTTTGAGGGCCAGGAATGTACCTCAGTGGTGCCGCATCTGCCTGGCAAGTGAGAGGACCTGAGTGATTCCTGGTACAGGGGAAAAAAAAATTTGAAATAGATCATCAGTTGGGAGTACAGTTGTAGATTACTTAGATGCAGTAGCAGCTAGTGTTTTTTTGGTACCGGGGATCAAACTTGGGTCCTTGTGCTTGTGAGGCAGGCAGCAGAACCACTGAGCTAAATCCCCGGCCCAGCAGCTAGTTTTTAACATCTTTAAATTTTACTAAAAATGTTTGCTGAAAATAGAATTTGTCAAACAGCTTCTTTTAAGTTTTGAAACTTGGATTTTCTTGTCAAATGTCAAAAAAAGACAAGCATGCCAGGAATGGAGGAAAGACCTTGGAGGATTGGTAGGAAGAGCCATGTAGCAGTTCTAAGGTTTGTTAAGTCTGGTGGTCATACTCCAGCTAAAGTTTCCAAGCAGTTACCTGGTTCATGGAAATGAACCTGGATCTATACCACCAGGCTCATTTTTTTTTTTTTTTTTTTTTTTTTTGGGTACCGGGGATTGAGCTCTGGTCCTTGGGGTTGCAAGGCACTGAAACCACTGAGCTTAATCCCCAGCCCAGCAAGTTTTTTTTTTTTGGTACCGGGGATCGAACTTGGGTCCTTGGCTTTTGAGGCAGGCAATGCAACCACTGAGCTAAATCCCCGGCCCAGGCTCATTTTTAATATGGCCTCAAGGCAAAAGGAATGAATTGGAAGGAGTAGCAACTTGGTGCCATTGGTCAACTATGCTGTCTTTGGATCTGAGTTGTGCATGAAGTACACCACCAGTTGATATTTGTTAAACCCTAAGGAAACTGAAGTTGGAGAATCTAGGTTCAGGGGCAAGAAGTGTCCACCGTGGACCTATGCTAGCAAAATTTAGTGTTCCAAAAACCAGACTTCCTACAGTATTTATTGTACCAGTTAAGCAGATGTGACTAACACAGACAAGCAAAGATTTAAAACATAACTGCCTGTGCTGGTGGTGGCACACGCCTGTACTCCAGCACTTGGGCGGCGGAGGCAGGAGGATTGCCAAGAATTTGAAGCCCGCCCGGATTACACAGCAAGACCTTGTCTTGAACCACAACCAATTTTCCTTATGTAAATAAAACTACAAAGCACATACAGAGGAAGAGGGCTGTGTAGTGTGACAAACCTATTCGGTGATTGGGTGCGAATTAAGTCTAGAAAACAGGCTCTCACTAGAGATTGTTCACGGAGAATTTAAGCAATATTGTAATCTCTTAAAACTTGATTCCTGGGCTGGAATTTAGCTCTGGTTTTGCTGTCTGCCTCGAAAGGGCGAAGTCCTGAGTTCGATCCCCGGTACCAAAGTTTGATTCTCAGGAGTGACCAAAATTACCATTTTAGAATGATCCTACTGGCAACTCCGCAGAAAGTGAAGGAAGGGGGAAATCAGGCCTTGCACATCTAATGGATTGTGAAGTAGATTCCATAAGTACTGGTGGTAACCGGAAGATAATTGCAGTGGCCTCTAGGACACGGCCTGGCTTTGCTTGCTGATTTGCTGGCTTTGCAGGGCTGGGGACCCAGGAGATGGTCTCGTAGGGCTAGGAAAGGTGAATTGGGCTGGGTGTTGGCTGAGGGTCCCAGCGCTGCAAAGTTGAACTCCGAGCAGCTGTAGGGAGTTAGGGTGTGGACACGGCCGGGAAGGCAGATCAGAACGCATGTTAGGTGTATAGAGAAGGAATCTCAATGCCTGTCGGATTTGTAGGAGGTAAAGTCCCAATGTGCTTAAGACGCCATCGCACTGTTGATGTCAGTACACCACCAATAGCTTGTAAACAATTTCATTTCCTAGTAATTCGCAGTACTGTTTACAGGTCTTGGGTCAGTGTTGTGTTTTGCCCTTCTCCCGGGCCTGCACGCAGGGCAGGTGAGCGCTCTTATCACGGAGCCACTGTCGTATCCCCTTCGGTTCCTGGCTTTCCTTGTTCCTGGGCCCCAGGGAGAGCTGTCCCAGTTTGCAGTTCTTCATAGCTCCTGATGGCCTAGATTTGAAGGTCGTTTTCCTTAGTGGTTAGGATCCACTCCTCTTGCTGGTTAGTGCAGTTGTAAACCTTGCCTAAGCTAAAATAGGGGTTCCGTAAAACAGTAAAGAGCATAATTTGCTTAAGAGGAAATAGTTTGAATTAAATAGGACTAAAATTGGCTCACGAAAACCTAATTTCACTCGCTTTTCACATGGAAGACTACACCGTAAGCTCTCGCAGCTGTCTACGTGTCCGCTTGAGTACCTGGCACGGAGTGGTTGCCAACTTGCTGAATGAATAAACTGGCGAGTCGCCTCGGTGAAGACTCCCGCCCCTTGCCATCCCGGCCACCTGCCCGTTCCCACAGCCCACCCACCCCAGCGCACCGCAGGCAGCGCTTATTGGCCCGCCTGGCGCAGTGAGCGCGAGGGACCTGGTTCTCCGCGCTGCACGTGCGATGACGGCAGCCAATCACAGCCGCTACCCCCCCGCCCCTCCGCCCAGCAGCGAGCCAGGGCGGCGCGGAGCGTCACGCGCTCCATGGTAACGACGCTCGGCCGAAGATGGCGGCTGGGCGCGAGCGGGGCGGAGGAGCGGATCCCTCGGGTTCAGGTTCGGGCCGTGCCCGTCCTGGCCGCAGTGGACTGCTGTGGGTCTGGGTCGTCTTGCTCCTGCTGGGCGGATTCTCGCCCGGGTTCCCGCCCGGCGCCGCGTCCGCTTCCGTCTCCGTGGGCAGCTCGTCTCTCTGCCGCCACCACGTCCCCTCTGTCAGCGAGGTAAGGCGGAGGAGGGCGCCGCGGGCCGGAAGGTGAAGTGGGGCGGGAGTGACGGAGCGGGTCCGGAGGGGAAGCGCCCTCGGGCGGAGACCGAGCCCTTAGAGGGAGGGACCCGCCGTGGGCCCCCTGCCCCCTGCCTGGTGGCACCGTCGGTCCCGCGGGGAGGCGGCAGCCCACAGCAGCGCTTTCCGAACTTGAGGCGTGCAGCGAGTCGCCTGCAGCACCTGTGAAAACGCAGCCCGCTGCCCTCCGCCCCACCTTGGGACTCAGGTCTGACCTGGCCGCGGAATTGGTAATTCTCGTTCCCAGATGGTGATGGAGCTTGTCGGTGGCACACACTTTGGGAACCGTTGATCTGAAGATTAGGGTACACATTGATTGGTAGGCGAGCCAGACAAAGGCGCTGTAGGGATAGTTAGGTTCTCTGGAGACAACATTCAGTTTATTTTCAAGTTATTTTATCACCTCCCTTGCCCCCTGCCCAGGAAATTCCTGCCTCCTTCCCTCTACGCGTCTCTCCCCAAACGATTTCAGTTTCATTTCCCTAAGCGTCAGCTCCTAGGCAGCCCGTGTTCCTTACACTTCGCAGGATGCCCTATCTGTCCTCTCTCCCTGGCTTATTGTTCAGGCACGTCTTGCTACTGCCCTTAAGGTTACTTGGGACAAGGTGTGCGTCTTACGTTTTGATTCCTTTTGAGATAGTTAGATCAGAGATGGGTTCGCAATAATCAGCATTCTTCCATAAAAGGAAGGACAAGACCCAAAACAGGGCTGCCTATTGTGATCAGCTTTGTAATTTGTCCTACTGCGTTAGCAAGTAAGATGCATGTAGAAATTTTAACTTCAGTGTAGGAGTCTAAGCCCATTCATTTCTGTGGGAACTTCCAGAAATGCTACATGCATATTATTCATAACTATATAAGCCAAAATATTGTTTGAAGTTTGTGTTTGTATTGTCTTTTATCATGACACTGCATTTTGCCTGAATTTTGAAAAAAAAAAAATCCCAGAAAGCCCTGCATTACTTTGAATTTGGATTAAAATAGGAGAAAGTAGTTCAAACACCTGCAAAATTTTTGTACTCCTTAGTGCTGTGCCAGACAACATACAGAGGGACTGTCATGAGAGTGGTAAAACAATGTACCAACAGAGCCTGGCGTGGTGGCGAAGGCTGTGATCCCAGCACTCTGGTGGCTGAGGCAGGAAGATCTCTGCAAGTTCAAGGCCAGCCTGGGCTACATAGTGAGTTCAAGGCCAACATGGCCTATATAGTGAGACACTTTCTCAATAAAACAAACAAAAAATTAGGAATTTACCAAATGACAAAAAATACTGTCTAGAAAAGGCAAGAGTTTTATCTAGGCTGCAGAGTACGCTGTGAAGAGGGACTGCAGGCCTGTTTCCAAGAGAGGAATCTCACAGGCAAGGTGAGAGACAGGGTTTTTATAAGGGCACAGTGACATGGGAAGTGGTCTGCAGATGTGGGGCAGAGTTGGCAGATGCCAACTCTTTTTTTTTTTTAAGTTAAAATTTACATTTATTTTAACACACCTGAATTAAGGGTGGAAAGGTGAAACAAATACAGTATAATACACACAGCATCGTATCAAAGATGCAGCCTTTCTAAAAATTATGCTGTAGAAAAGATAAAGAATGACATAATGCGGAACAGGCCTGATTTCATCAAGAAACTTTCATGATATTTGATTCTTAATCCTATGTAAGTACGATAATCTCCAAAGTATTTGGCAGTAATTTATTTTTTCTACTTCTGGACTTCTAAAGTAGACCACTTAATTATATGAATTATTCTTTTAGCTTTTTTTTTTTTTTGGTACCGGGGATCGAACTCGGGACCTTGAGTTTGTAAGGCAGGTAGCGGCACCACTGAGCTAAATCCCCGGCCCTTGTTAAGTGGTTTTTATAGACACTCTGCATCTATCTAAATTAAACATATTCTACAATAGTGTAATTATAAGGCCATGATATTTCTTTTGGACAAACCCCTTAATGTAGTGATTTTAATATCAATGTTATTCATTCTTTGAAATATAGTGTTTTAACTGAATTAAGGTTACATATTTTTAAATACTACCTACATCATGACTAGTATATTAAAATTATTTATTCTATTTATATCTAATATCCAAAGAAAATTTACTACCAAATTGATACAGTAGATATTAGTCTGCCATGCTTATTAATTGATCCCATAGGTATAATTATAGATCAGCATGATTTTAGTGTCTATTCTTTCACTTTACTAATCAGGAATGCAGCATGTACAGAATAAACAAGTGATGCAGCCACCCAAGGATCATGATAGCTCCTCCAGTTAGCTGTCACAAGCTCAGATACAAATCCCCACCACGTGAACAAAGTTGGATCCAATTCTTCATCAAAAAGTGCCAGTGGTGGTTGTCAGACACCTTCCAGTGTAGATCCCCAGTCCAGTGGCTAGTAGATGAGACAGCAGTAGAGATGGAAGAAAAACCTCCAGAAATTCTGCTGAGAAAATGCCCCCTTTCTTCATAACACTTGTGTTTCTCATGCTGAGAGGAGCTGTGCGCTTTGGGTATTTAAAGAGGAACTCCTTAGAGGGTATATCTTCTGGCTGACTTGACCAATCCCACATCCACCTGAGTTTTTCTTCAAGATAGTTTCAACTTTTTTCCTTCTCCCAATATAGTCTTCCTCGGACTGAGAGCTGTTTTTTTTCTCCAGTGCTATGTGTATCTATTCCAGAAGCTTTATTAGTATCTTGTGGTGTGTGTGAGCTAGATGGACTGTCTCAGTGAGAACTCTTTGAGCCACTCCATCCAGATTGATGCTAGGCATCTAGCAGTATTTTTTCCATGTCACCATTATAAATAGAAACTGAGGCTGGAACACTGCTCCCATTCCCATTATTGCTGAAGTGCAGCTCTACCCAGGAGCCCTGCAGGTTCTCCTTCTGCAACCCGGGGACCCCACTCTGTGACATGACACCAGAGGCTGCTCAACCGTGGAGCTCCGCACCCGGCTGCAGAGATGCAGATATCTTAGCAAGGGCTTTTCCTGGTCGTCCTGTTGCTGCTAACCTTCTGGACACCTGGATGGGGACTGAAGTTGTGCATCAAAGTTGCAAACTGTCCAGGCCTCTTGCTTAGGCCTCAGAAGGGCTCTTCAGGTTCAGGTGGGGCTGGCTGTGTGTGTGTTTTAGCCTTTTTGGGAAAGATACAGCATTAGCTCAGGGGAGGAAAGGGTGGTTTTTGTATCTACTACTATCTTGTGCTGGTTCCTTAGTCCTTAGTGCAGTTAGTGTCTCTCCCTCGCTGTGGGCGGAAGTGTGTCAGCTGAGATTAGGTGCTGAGAATTTCAGCCCCTTCGTTACCACACCTAGTAACTATTTTTTTCTAGCAGCCTCTTTGCTTTTTGGAGATGACCACTGTGAAAATTCTTTTTATGGGGCCGGGGATTTAGCTCAGTGGTTCCACTGCCTGCCTTACAAGCGCAAGGTCCTGAGTTCAATCCCCAGTACTGAAGGAAAAAAAAAACAAGAACAAAAATTCTTTTTATGAAGCAGAAGAATTCCTGATACTTCCACCCACTATTTCTGTTTGTGCCTCTTGGCTGAACTAGCTGATTACTGAGAGTACTTATAATACTAGAGGCATGCTGCTGAAATTCTCCAGAGTTCTCCCTGATCCGTTTCCCTAGTTCTTCCTGGTAACAAGTCGTCCTCCCCATTGTCCTTGCTTCAGCCTGGACAGAGCATAAGTGAGAACTATTACACTCATGCTGTTAAGTGCTCCAGCAAATTACTGTAACCTTTTTTTTTCTTTTCTTGTGATGATGATGGTGAAATACAAAACACTGACTTATTTTACTTGTTCTGAACTAAAATTTATACATTTTATTTTTACTTTATATCATGTAAATTAAAACAAAGCCAGAATAGTATGATGAATCGGATGGACCTATCACTTGCCTTTAACACTTCCCAACATTATGACATTTTTGTTATTGTTGTTTTTGGTACTGGGGATCAAATTCAGGACCTTGTGCTTGCCAGGCAGGTGCTGGGACCACTAAGCTAAATCCCTGGCCCTGTTCCTGTTTTTTTTTTTCTTTTGGTACTGGGGATCGAACTCCGGTCCTTGTGCTTGTGCAACAGGCTGCGAAACCACTGAGCTAAATCCCTGGCCCTGTTGCTGTTGTTTTTGAGACATCTCATCATGTAGCCCAGGCTGACCTTAAACTTGCCGTAACCCTCCTGCCTCATCCTCCCAAGTGCTGGGATTTCAGGGGTGCGCCACCACGCCCAGCTCACTCTGATATTCTTGTTCCACTTACTTGTAGTCATTCCCATCCTCCCATTTGATTTATCGTTCTCTTTTTAAAAGTTTATTTGGTGAAATGTCAGTCAGCTGAAATATCACAAATGCGCCTATGTCCATACATGTAAAACCCACAATCCTGTCACAATATGAAGTTTTCCGTCTCCCCAGAAAGTCCCCTCCTGTCCTTTGTCCTCAGAGAGTCTCTCCCATCTATCCCAGGCAAATCAGTTTTTAAACAAGAGATTCATTTTGCCAGTTCTAACACTTAGTTTATAAGATTGGAATTACATTTCCTCCACAGTGCCTGGCTTCTGTTCACAATAATGTCTATAAGGTTTGTATTGTGTGCCATAGTAATTCATTCCTTTTTATTGTTGATGATTCCATTGAATATTAATATCATAATTTAGTTTAGATTTTTTTTTTTTAATAGTACTGGGGATTGAACCCAGCGCCTTTGCACTGAGCCATAGCCCCTCCCCTCTTTTGAGACAATGTCTGGCTAAATTGCCAATTCTGGATTCAAATAAGTAATCCTTCTGTCTCAGCGTCCTAAATGTATACTTAAACTTAATATTTATGTTAAATGTAAGAAGTTCAAGGGCAGCCTGGGCTACAGAGTGAGACCCTGTCTCAAAAAAAGAAAATACCCACCAAAAAAAACCATTTCTGTGTCTCTAAAGAAATTCAAAGAAGAGAGATATATGTGTAATTCACTTGAGGGTTCCCAAGACCGCACCAGGTTTGGTGACTGCTTGGTAGACATGGAGCTTCAGTGCACCGTTACACTCACAGTACAGGTCTGTTACTGTGGAAGAAGGGACACAGAGCAGGACCCCCAGAGAGGCCAAGTGTGGCAGAGCCTGGGGCAGCGGCACAGACCAGAGCTCTCCAGTGAGTCCTCAGCAGCACAGAGCCTCATCTGTTGGGGAAGGTTCCCAGAGCCATGGGGTCCAGGATTTTGTTTGCTTGTTTGCAGTTCTGAGTACTGACTACCCTCATGCTAGGTCCTACCACTGAGCTACATCCCTAGCACTTTTTGCTTTATTTTGAGACAAGGACTTGCTAAGTATCCCAGGCTGGCCTAGAACTTGGAATCCTCCTCCCTCAGCCTCCTAGGTGCTGGGATTACAGGTGAGCACCACCATGCTCAGCTGGGAAAAGCCATCTTAATAAAAATATAATAGTGAACACTTTTTGCGCATTTATTTAATGTCAGTCAGAGTTATGTGAATTCACCTGTACTATTAACTGTTTTACGCCCAAGAAAAGCTGATCACAGAGGTGCTGTGCCCAAGAAAAGTGACTCTAACCACAGCTGCTAGGGGGCTGGAGATCAGTGAAGGACTCAGACTGCAGCTTCCTGGGCGCATGGGATGCGTCCTCCCTGCGCTTGTCTCCGAGACCCGTATAAAGCTGGTCTACCAGCTGGGAGGCAGGGTTTGGTCCCCTCCCCTGATCTGCTAAAGCAGCCACACAGGGTTACCTGGAGACAGGGTTAGAGTGGAGGGGAAACACTGGAAGCAGAGTGTCAGCAGGGAGAGCAGAGTGGGTAAAGGTGTTGTGGAAATGAGTTGAAGACATGTCTACCTGTTTCTCTATAAAATATAAAATTGCATTTTCCTTATGTAAATCTTCTGAAATAGCATAAGACAATTCGATTGTTCATTGCTAGAGTTGTAAGAGTGAAGCAGTAGGGCCGGGGATTTAGCCCAGTAGTTTCGCCGCCTGCGGCCCAAGCACAAGGATCTGAGTTCGATCCCCTGCACCAAACAAAACAAAACAAAACAAAACACTTAGTTCACTGCCAGGGATTTAGCTCAGTGGTTCCATTGCCTACTTCGCAAGCACAAGGACCTGAGTTCGTTCCTTAGTACCAAAAAAAAAAAAGAATGAAGCAGAATATGGAATACATTTATTTATTTTTGTTTTGTTTTGTTTTGCTTTTGAGACAGTGTTTGGCTATGTAACCCAGGCTAGCCTTGAACTGGCAGTGATCCTCCTGCCTCAGCCGTCCGAGTGCTGGGATCACAGGTGTGCGCAATCACTCCTGGCTCTGTAGCTTTTTTTACATAAATTCTAGCTTTGCTGATTTTGAGTCTTCAGAAAATGATAGGAAAAAAATTAAAAGTATTTTAAATTACTTTTGTCATATTTTTTTGTTGTTTGTTTGTTTGTTTTTGGTACCAGGAATGGAACTCAGGACCTTGTGCTTGTGAGGCAGGTGGTGGCACCACTGAGCTAAATCCCCAGCTCTTAAATTACTTTTAAAAGAGAACAAAAAACTATAAAAGAGTATTTCTGCCAGGAGTGGCACATGCCTGTAATCCCAGCACTTGGGAGGCTGAGGTAAGAGAGTTGCTAAGAGTTCAAGGCCACCCTGAGCTACATAGTGAGACCTTGTCTCAAAAATAAAAATACAAAAGTAAAAAAAAAAAAGTTTGGTTCATTTATTTCAACTTTGAATCTCATTTGGCTGATCAAATTGGTACATTCTATTATATATAAATTCTACCTCTATAAATATGTACATCTTTAAATGACTTTCCAAATTATTTCTTTTTGTAGGTCATAAATAAGGTTCATCTTAAAACAAATCATGTTGTAAAGAGAGGTGCTGATGACCATTTAAGAATCAAGACTGTCTATGATAAAAGTATTGAGGAGTAAGTATGCTATTACTTTGTCTTTTTTTTTTGTACTGGGGATCAAACTCAGGAGCTTGTGCTTGCCAGACAGGCGTGGTGCTACTGAGGTGCATCCCTGGCCCACTTTGTCATCTTTTTTATTGTCAATCTAAATATCAAAGATTCTTGGTTTCTTTGGCTTTTTGATACAGGGTCTCACTATGTAGTTCAGGCTAGCCTTGAACTCTCATGTGTAGCCCAGGCTGGCCTCATACTTGCAGCAATCCTCCTGTCTCAGCCCCCCAAGTGCTGGGATCACAGGTGTGCACCACCACACTCAGTTTTTATTTTCATCTGTTGCCTGAAATAAAAGGCCAGACACGGAGCTGTACATGGTGGCACATACTTGTAATCCTATTTACTTGGGAGGCTGAGGCAGGAGGTTCCCAAGTTTGACGCCACCTGGGCAATTTAGCAAGACCCTATTTCAAAATAAAAAATAAAAAGGGCTGGCAAAGTAAGTATCTCAGTGTTAGAGAGCTTGCCTAGCACGCATGAGGCCCTCAGTTCAATCTCCAGTACCAGAAAAAAGTAAAGTCCTTGTATGGGACTAAAGAAGGGCTAGTGTAGCTTTAGAATGAAATTAAGCTGAAAATGCTTTTTCAGTCTGAAAAGCTAAAGTGCATGAGATAGGATTAAGATCAGTGCATCATGAATATTTAAATAGAGTAAATGTGCATCTGTTTGCATGTGGTAACACTGGAAGTCACCTGTCAGTAGGTACTCGGAGGAAAAACAGAAGGTATTAATATCAACCATGATTTTAAAAATTCACACATTATGAGCAAATATTCTGGGAAAATTTCAGTCATTATTACACCTTTCTAATTCTGCCCATTCATGTGGTATTAACTCAAAAGACAGGCACCATTTAATAGTTTCGTTGTTGTTTTGTTTAATTTTATTTTATTGTTGTTATTGGTGCTGGGGGTTGAACTTTTGCATGGAGCTACATCCCCAGCCCTTTCTCAGTTTTTTATTTCAAGACAAGTTCTTGCTAAGTTGCTAAGTTGCCAAGGCTGGGCTCAAATTTGCAATCCTCCTGCCTTTGCCTCCAGGTGGAACTGTTAATTTTAACAGAAATGCTACATTCTTGGGCCAGGGATTTAGCTCAGTGGTTCCTACATTCTAAAGTCATAAGGCACATGTCTCACCCAGAGATACTCAGGTATTTTAGAATTATATTATATCCTCCTCAAAAAACTAGGATTAGAGGTCCCATTTGACCCAACTATACCCCTGCTGGATATCTTCCCAAAAGAATTAAGAGAATCATACCACAGCAATGTATGCGTATCCATATTTATACTGGCACAGTTTGTAATAGGTAAAACTTGGAAACAGCCCCATTGCCCATCAACTGGTGACTGGATAAAGATGTGTTTTTTATATAAAATAGAGTACTCTCAGTGGTTCGGCTGCTTGCCTTAAAAGTGCAAGGTCCTGAGTTTGATCCCTGGTACTAAATAAATAAATAAACAAATAAAATGGAGTACTACTCAGCCATAAAAAATGAGAAATTAGAGACATTTATAGCTGAATGGATGCACATTGAGGCCATACTCTTAAGTGAAATAAATAGGACATACATGTGTAAATACCGAATAGTTTCTCTAGTGTTAGAAACTGAAAGTGTAAATAAGGACTAAAAGGTATAATAGATAATGTGAAATAGGAAGAAAAGGGGCAAAGGGGAAGGGGAAGTGGGAGGAATAGGGGAAAGGAAAGAAGGGAAAGAAAAAATATGAGAAAAGGGAAAAACAGAAACAAAGTTTGTAAATAGGGAGGGATGGAGGGGTTAAAGGAAGGGTAGGAGAAAGGGGAAAAAAACAAGAACCAAGATATATCATGTGCAGGTACAAATCCTCAGTGATGAATGTCATCATATTGTATATATCTAAAATGTACCGATAAACTTAATTAAAAAAAATTCACACATTAGTAACCAGAGAGATTATACAGTCCAATTTTTATGTATTATAAGGGATCCAGAAAATGGATAAATTTTCACTGGGTGTGGTGGCGCATGCCCATAGTCCCAGCACTCAGGAGGCTGAGAGGAGGATTGCCGTGAGTTTGAGGCCAGCCTGGGCTACATAATGAGTTCAAGGCCAGCCTGAACTGCATAGTGAGACCCTGTCTCAAAACATCAAATGAAGGGCCGGGAATTTAGCTCAGTGGTTTCTCTGCTTGCTGCACAAGCGCAAGGACCCAAGTTTGATCCCTGATACCAAAAAAAAAAAAATCAAATGAAGGAAAACGCCAGAAAATGGCTAAATCAAAATCTGTCATAGTTTGGAAGAGCAGCAGGAGTTGTGGGTGCCTTTCCCCATGGGTCACCCCCTGAGTGAGTGACTGTGGCTATACCTGGTGCCTGTGGCCTGGGAATCACTCAGTGCTCAAGGAGTGGGAGGCTCTGGAGGCTGGGTGTGGTCCTTCGGTCTCCAGTCCTGGACTCACAGGTGTGGGAGGAGCAGAGGGAGTGGGTGGGATAGCGCAGTTCTCACCTCTCCTGTCCCCCTCGCAGGCTGCTTGATGAGAAGAGGCATCTCGTGAAGGTGAGGAGCACAGCTCAGCGTGCAAACTCCTGGCCCACCTGAGGCAGAGGTGTCTGGAGTGAATGTTGTTTGAGTCCCCTTGGGTGTCTGGGATGTGCTCACTGAGGCTGTGTTGCTGTGTGATCGTACATTTGTTGCCTTACTGCATGACTTGATATTAAATTGTCTTCTCATTTTTTTTTTTTTTGGTACTGGGGATCGAACTCGGGACCTTCCGCTTGCAAGGCAGGCGCCGGAACCACTGAGCTAAATCCCCGGCATCTTCTCATTTTTTAACTGGTTGTCTCAAGTTTTTTGGGAACAGGTCATGGTGAGGATAGAGTGAAAAGGACAATTTTTGAAACATTGAAAACCAAGTGCAGTGGTGTACACCTGTAATCCAAGCACTCGGGAGGCTGAGGCAGGATCACTGCAACTTTGAGGTCAGCCTGGGCTACATAGTGAGATCAGGGCCAACCTGAATTACAGCGCAAGGTCCTGACTCCAAAACAAAAAACAAGCAAACAAATCCCAGCACTCCAGGAGGCTGAGGCAGGAGGATAGCAAGTTTGACCCCAGCCAGGGCAACATAGGGAATTAATGAGACCTTGTCTCAAATAAAAAATGAAAAGGGCTGGAGATACAGCTCATTGTAAAGGCCCTGGTTTCAATCCCCAGTACATACTGAAAAAAAAAAAAAAAAGACAGATACTTTGAGAGGCTCCATTCTCTTTGGGAATCTTCATCCCTAAGGATGAATGACCTGATTGTGTGGCTCCCCTGAGTGGTTTATGGAGGGGTGACCAATGCAGATGTGACTGCAGCCCATTTTTACCTCTGGAGTCACGCATATGTGCATGAAGCCAGGTTGCTGGGGCCATGGAAGTTGGATAATCTTTTTTTTTTTATTTGTTTTTTGAGACAGGGTCTGGCTATGTAGCCCAGGCTGGCCTCAAACTCTCCGAGATCCTCCTGTCTCACTGGGTGCTGGGATTACAGCCATGTACCACCATGCCTGGCTTGGATAATCTTAAACATAGGATTTTCTTAATATTGACCACTTTAATGTTGGAATGTAAATCAGCCTCAGATTTGAAGCAGTGTAGATGAATAGTTGAGATTTCTGTCTCCCCATCTTACTGAAATGGGAGAGGAAGACTCCAGCTCTGCTCTCTTTGCAAGCTCAGCCAGAAACAAGGGGTTCCCGTCCCTCCCTGTCCCCTGCCCCCAGGCTCCACTGCTAACACTGCCTGCAGCCTCCCAGAACTGGGGGCTGTGCTGTCTTGTCAGTCCTTCCTGTTAAGTGCTTCCTTATGATCCCTTAACTGTCATTTTGACTGGGTTTGTGTGTTCAATTTTTATTTAGAACAAGCTTTTCCCACAAGCAATTTCCTACTTAGAAAAGACGTTCCAGGTCCGCAGACCAGCTGGCACCATCCTGCTCAGCAGGTAGGTTATGTCTTGTGGCCTGCAGCCCTGAGGTGTCTTCATCCCTTGAGCTCTCTGCTGGTCCCTCAGCCACTGTGGCACTGTGTGCCCCTCAGGGCATTGTGCTGGATTTCCTCTTCATGCTCAGGCTGCAGGCTGTTTAGAAAGAAAGGAAAAGCACCTGCGAGTCATCCTTCCACCCCTGATGTTCCAGTAGGGGCACCCAACTGGATCTCTTGCTCCGGTGTCCTTCTCTGTTCTCGAAACCTTTATTTGACCACCCTGTTGGCTTTAATGAAGTATTTGGGATGGGCATGGCAGTGCAGGGCTGTAATCCCAACGCTGAGGAAACTGAGGCAGGAAGATCGTTACGTATTTGAGGCCAACCTGGACTACATAGTGAGACCCTGTTTCAAAATAATGCGTGTGCGCGCATGCACACACGCACGCACGCACGCACGCACACACACACGTATTTGGGCATTGGAAAACCCAGTTCAGGCAGATTCCCCATAGAACTAAACTTCTTTCTCAACATACTGGGCTGGGTGAAATAGTAACCATTGTCATTAAAGTAACATTGCAGTTCCCAGTTCATTACTATGGTTCTAATTCCAGCTGATCTTCTTTTTCTTTTGCAATTGAACTTGACTTACAAATAAACCAGACAATGTGCCACAAACCAGTACCTGAGGAAGGAAAACGACCCTCACCGCTACTGCACCGGTGAGTGTGCGGCGCAGACCCAGTGCGGCCCGGTGACGGTGCCCGAGGAGCACCTGCAGGTAACCCCTCCCCACAGCTATGTGCGCAGTGTGGGGATTGAACCCAGGCCACCGCACCACTGAGCTACACCCTCAGAACTTTGATCTTGAGGCAGGGTCTCACTGAGTTGCATAGTTGCCGGGGCTGGCCTCAAACTTTCTATCCTCCTGCCTCAGCCTCCAGAGTAGCTGGGATTCCCAGGATGCACCACTGAGCCTAGCCTAGCAGTATTTTTACATTAGCATAGGGAGACTTCAGCTCTGTTCCACCAGAATGTTTTCAGAGTTAAGCACAAAGGCACAGGAAGGTCATTTTGTCATAAGAGAGGTGTGCTGGTCCCCGTCCCTTGCTGGCTTTCAGGAGTGTTCAGCAACACCAGGGCGTTTCCCAGTACCTAGGCTGTCTGTGTCACCCCGCAGCTTCTGTTTCTGCTTTTTGCGGTGCTGGGCATTGAAGCTGGGGCCTCCTGCAGGCTGGGCACACGCTCTGCTCCCGAGTCACATTTCAGCCCACAGCCAGTTAAAGGGTGACTTGATACTTCTCAAGATAAAAAGTGTAGTGTGCTTCAACCCAACCTGGAAAATTTTCCTGTAAAAATACTAATAATTACCCAGACCCAGTGGCACATGTCAGTATAGTCTACTTTCCAGCCACTCTGGAGGCTGTGGCAGGATAACTTGAGCCCATGAGTTTAAGGCCAGCTAGGGCAACATAGCAACACCCCATCTTGGAAAAGAAAAAAAAAAACCAACTAATAACTGTGCTGTGTATGTTCAAGGGTGTTCTTTGGAGAAGTATGAATGAATACGCATAAAAAGCAATGCTACGACCATGTAATGGAATACTGTACAGTTTTTAAAGAATAAAGTAATTATGTACTGATGTGGAAAGATATTTAATTTCTTAAATGAAAAAAAGGATTGTAAAGGGCTGGCTGGGGATTAAGCCCAGTGGTGCCACTGCCTGCCGTGTAAGCACGAGGACCCGGGTTTGATCCCCAGTACCAAAAAAAAAAAAAGTTGTAAATCCATATGTATAATTAGCTTACTTTATTTAAAAACCTACAGACGTGCATGTGATAAAAACTTATGAAAAAAATCTAGAGAAATGTATGTCAGAGATCCCCAGTGAAGCCCCCAACCCTCGATTAGGTATTCCACGTGGAATAAAGACAAAGATGAATAGCAAAGGAAATGAGGCCCAGGAGGTCAGAGCTTCTAGTGAGCAAAGACCTGAACCTCCGAACCTGCCAGTGTTTACTGAGCACAGAGCAGCAGGGCAGCGTGTGGTCAGGCATGTGGGGCGATGAGCAGAGGTGCTGACGTGAGCCAGGCCTAGCGAGAGCAGAACAAAGCGTTCCTGCAAGAAGTGAATCTCGGGTTACTGGGAACTTGTCCTTTCCCTTAGATTAATATTAACTTTTATAGAGGACGAGCAAGAATCATGGGGTCTTCAGCCGCAGATGCTATCAGCTAATACAGGCTCCACAGTGTCATTGACCTGGGTGGGTCTCGGCCGTGGCCAGTGGCACGTAGAATTCTCTTTCTGCATGCCAGCTGCAGCCATTCAGCTGTGCACTAAAACCCCAGAGCAGCTCTGAATTATAAGCCAATTGTATGAAGCCAACTGAATCTAATCAAAGCCTGCTCAACACCATCTTAAGGGGTTCTCCTTCGGTACACATGTTAAAAATCTGGATACATTAGCCAGGTGTGATGGTGCACACCTGTAATCCCCCTACTCTGGAGGCTGAGGCAGGAGGATCGCTATGAGTTCAAGGTCAGCCTGAACTACATACCAAGACCTTGTCCAAAAAAATCAGAAAACAAACAAAAAACTGGATATATGTCAAAATGTATATAGTTTCCTTTAAGAGTTGGATGGAAGGGGTTTTTCTTTGGTATGTTATGTATTTTTGTGGTGTTCTCAGTTTTTTCATATTGAGTGTCTATTAATCAGAAAAATTAAAAATTTAATGTATACATCAGAAAAAGAACTTATACGTATAAATCTGAAAATATGATGATTGCTATTAATGTTCTTCTCTTTTTCTCTGTGTTCTTTCATTACTTATAGAAAATGAATACATTACTGACCCTGGATTCCATAAACAAAATTAAACGTATTTATATTTCTTGTAAGTTTTTTTCTTAGGTATTTGAAGTTTAGTAAAGGCTTTTGTAAACTTTTATGCTGGCACCTATACAATTTGCTTACTCGGCATTCCTTTCTTTTCTCAAATTCCTTGAGTGGGTAATGGACATATTTAAAATTTCAAACAGTCTATTAATTGCATCTTATCTCTTTTCCCAAGATATTTCCTAGACCTCCCTTCTCCCCTCTGCAGTCGTAGGGATTGAACTCATGCCTTCATGCTCAGCTTTTTAAAATTTAGAGACAGGGTCTTCCTAAGTCACTAAACTGCCCAGGGTAGGCTGGAATTTGTGACTCTCCTGCCTCAGCCTCCCAGGGTGCTGGGATTGTGGGTATGCACCACCACACCTGGATTTCCATAGATATTTAAAGATATTTAACAAATTTCTTTGCTCTTTTTTCCAAAATACTATTTGTCACTTTTAATTTTTCTTGACTCTTTCAAATTCTGCTTCCTACTTCTTGAATATTGTGAATTAAGTAATCATGAGGAAAAATGCTTAAAAATTATAGTACCAACTATTAGTAGGTTCAAGTACTTGAATTTAAAAATTAAATATACGAGTTAGGGAAATAAGAGTAAACATTTTATATTACAGGAAATGGGAATTTATGGGTTTTTTTACAGTCTCCACAAGCTTTCAAAGCTTTGTTTAGCCTAAAAAAAAAAAAATTTACAGATTTTTTTCTGTTTTTCTTTTTTTTTGGTACCGGGGGGATTGAACTCAGGTCCTTGTGCCTGTGAGGCAGGCGGTGGAACCACTGAGCTAAATCCCCAGCCCCTTTTTTTTCTTCTTGAGACATGGTCTTGCTGTGTTGCCCAGGTTGGCCTCAAGCTCGTAATCCTCCTGCCTCAGCCTCCTGTATACTGGGATTATAGGCACATGCCATCACACCTGACTAATTTACTGATTTTCTAATTGCAATTTCGAGATTATGATTGCTTAGAAACTTTCATAGAAAAAGCTTTTCAAAAAGCAAATGTTACAAAGTAAGATTTGCTTAGAAACTATAAATAAGTTATCATACCCCTCGGGAAGAAAAGAAAATTAAAAACGAGGATAATATGAAATGGCTTTAGCTTTTAACTTATCACTTTTGTATTATCTAAATTTTTAAGAAGACATATCCATTTCTTGAATCCATGGAATGGAAATATATTTCCATTTGGTAACTTTTTAAATTAATTTGAAAGCAACTATAGATTCAAAGGAAATTGTAAAAAGTCACAAATAAGCTGGTTGTAATGGTGCACACGTGTGATTCCAGCACTTGAGAGGCTGACATAGTAGGATTGCTGAGGTTGTGCTGCATAGTGAGTTCAAAGCCAGCCTTAACTACATAGTGAGACCCTGTCTCAGAGAGAGAGAGAGAGAGAGAGAGAGAGAGGGAGAGAGGGAAGGAGGGAGAGAGGGAGGAAGGAAGGAAGGGAAAAAGAGAAAAGAGAGAGAGAGAGGCAGGCAGACAGACAGTCCCAAATAGGATGTAGCTCAGTGGCACAGTGCTTGCTTACTGTGCCTGAGGCCCTGCATTCAATCCCCAGCACCAAGAAAAAAATTCTGTATCGGGAGGGAAGTCCCTTTACCTGGTTTCAGGGTTTCCAAACCTTTCCTGTTTCTGTATCCTAGTTGAGTGACCTTCATCAATGACAGTCGTTTATTTTCATCAGGATCATTTTGTGCAGAGGTTTTAGTAAAATAAATTGAAAATTAGAGAAAGGCATTGAGTAGGGGGAGAGGTATGGATTATGGATTTGGGGGATTTTTTTTTTTTTTTGAGACAAGGTCTTGCTGTGTTGCCAAGATTGGCCTCAAGCCATCTTCCTGCCTCAGCCTTCCAATGCCTGAGGCCACAGATTCTGTGCCTGGTGGCTGTGGATCTTATAAAGGTTTTATTGACTGCAGATAGAGGCCATCCTGTATGGAGAGTCTTGGTTCCCAAGAGCTGGCCACACCTGCTGACCCTGTCTCTGGTCTTTCTATCTCTTGGGCAGCCGTGCAGGGTATGTCGAGGCGGGAAGTGGCCCTGCATGGCAGAGGTCGAGCAGCACCCAGAGGGCATCCGAGATGCGGACTTTGTCCTTTACGTGGGTGCTTTGGCCACGGAGAGATGCAGCCACGAAAACATCATCTCTTACGCAGCCTACTGCCAGCAGGAAGCGGAGACGGACAGGTGAGCTCCTCCTGAGGCCTGGCGAGGACTCTACCGCTCTCCTGTGTGCGCTGCAGGAGCCAGGCGTCTGCAGTCACAGCTCAAGGGCGTGTGGGGCGGACACAGGGTTGTCATGTATATGTCATGGAAGTTTGTAAGCAGAATGAGAGAAAAGGGAGACTCGACTTTGACTTTTTCCTCTGCCACTTCTTTTCTATTCCTATCCTTTTTATTTTTTACTTCTCTGTTTTTTTTAGACAGGGTCTCATTATGTAGCCCAGGTTGCCATTGCATTCCAAGCGATTCTCCTGCCTCAGCCTTCTGAGTGCTGGGATTACAGATGAGTGCCACCATTCCTGGCTTTATCCTATCCTTTTTGCCAATAAACTCCAAAGACAAAGGCTGCTTAAGAAAATCTTCTTCCAGCCCTCAGGAGAATCACTGCAAGTTCAAGGCCAGCCTGAATTAGAGTAAGATCTTGTCTCAAAAAAACAAGAAAAAGGTCTGGGGATTTAGCTCAGTGGTGCTGCTGCCTGCCTTGCAAGTGTAAGGTCCCGAGTTTGAATCCTGGTACCAAAAGAAAAAGAAAAAGAAAATTTTCTTTCAAGGTGAATACCTCTCTAAGAAATAATTTGAACTTTCAATTTAACACTTCCATCCTAAAAGTTTAAACATAAATTCGCTTGTTATTTGTTACATGTGCTGCATTTAGCTAAATTATCACTTCAACATTCAGTTTTCATTATTTCCAGGAGATTTAAAAAAAAAAACTTTCCCAGTGAGGCAGCCCAGCCTTGAAATGAAAAGTGATAATACATCCAAAGGTTGCCTGTCATATACCAGGCAGATCAACTAAAGGTGGTAGAAATTGTACACATCTCAGAATAGATGGTGTGCAATATTCTCACACAGGAGGAGCATGTGACCAGTCTAGGCGCGTGTAAGGACCATTGCTGGGGTGCTGAGCAGCTGCTGACCTGTGAGAGGACTTGCTGACTTCCCTTTTTTGTTTTTTGAGACAGGGTCTTGCTATTTGGTTCAGGTTGGCCTTGAACTCAGTGTCGCCCAGGCTGGCCTTAAACTTGAAGCAATCCTCCTGCCTCAGCCTCCTGAGTGCTGAGATTACATGTATATGCCATCATGCCTGGCCCCTGGTGACTTCAAAGAGCCTTTTCTCTTCTATTGACGTATAATTTATGTGAGGGGAAAAATTGAAGCTCTTAGTTGAACTGAGTAGACAATAAGAAGGAAACAGTGGTCTATTCAGAATTGTACTGTCAATCCTAAAGGACTAAAAACGTCCAACTTGCCAGCATGCTTGAGGAAGAGCAGTCTGGTCCTGTGAGAGTGTAGAATCGCTGATTGGTGAAATTGGCTCAGAAGTCTTCAGACTGAACGTTGAGAAAGCCGAGCACCAGCTGTGGAGTGCATGTGTGCTCGGGAAAGTAGCGTGTTTTCTTGTGGATGTGTGTGTGCTAATGTTACTTTTTTCCTGAGAAACTGCCTTGAAGTTTGTCTTTAATGAATGGTGTCTTGGTATTGGTGGTCTTTGATATTTGAAGTGCCGAGGGAACGGCTTGATAATTTTATCGAGCTACTTGATAAAACTAACTCTTAAAGAAGATGTCTGAGAAATTCCCTTTATCCACAGTAGTGCTGCAGGAATCACAGTTGTCCTAATTGGAACTAAGTCATGGATCTCTCTCACACACACACACACACACACAAACACAATCTCGTTTTGAACACACTATTAAGTATCAGAAGAACTTTAAAGCACTTCATTTTATTGTTTTACTTCTATTTGCATGTATTTTTATGCTGAGGTTTATCCCCTGCCCTCAGTTGTTTCTCCGGCTTCCTCTGGGCTCTGTCTTCTGCGCAGCCTTCTCCTGTGGTTTTGGGACAGTTTGTCCCTTCTTGACGCGATCGTCAGTGTTGGGGAGCCCGGTGCGCATGAGTGAGCAGGGCCACCCCATCCCATGGAGACCCGGAGCTCAGCTCTGCGATGTGCACCTGTATGTGTGTGTAGCAAAGCTCAGCACCCTTCCTAGGCTCCCCCTGTGCTCCAGGCTGTACCACCCAGCTGCAGTGCTGTCCTTGCTTCTTTAGAGTGAAGCCCTTTGAATACTTGGTGGCCTGGACAGTTTCACCTTGTTCTTCAGTGAACACAAAGCTCTGAAGCTCTTGATTTGCAGGGTTTTCTGAGTCAGGAGAGTACTGAAGTGTTTGCACAGTCACCCCTGCCACTCACAGGTAGCAGAGGGGTCACAGCACTCTGCTGTGTGTTTCACACTGACAGGAACGGATCGCTGAGGGTAAATGTCCTGTGGACATGAGACTGAACTGCTCGTACACAGCTCCTTTCCTTCTGGAGCGGGTCTTGGTTTCTCTGAGAGGGATGTTGATTTTGGCACAAAGAGCAGTGCAGCATCTTCAGCTGTGCTTTTTGAATCTTTTTGAAGGAATCTTCTACCCATGTACTGCAGAATTCATTTCTGACGCCAGGTATTTGTGCACCAGACTAGGAGAACAAAGGAAACCCGTGTGTCCGCCTTGTGGAGCTGACAGACCACAGAGGCACACGGGGACTGGTTAAGAGCACTTGCAAATAAATACTGAGAAGTGTTTTGTAGAAAAATATGTTGTACGGGGTGCCGTGACACAAAAGAGAACAAAAGGGGGAAATATCTGTCAGGTGGGCAGAGAAGGCCTCTTTGAAGAGTGAAATTCAGCTGTGTCCTGAAATGCTGACAAGGCAGGAACAAGCTTGTGTCAGGAGAGAGCTTGTGACCTGTGCTGTCCCGGACACTTGGAGAGGATTCTGTAGTTCAGAGTTCTACATGTGTTATATGGAAGTCACCATGGCAGTGTTTGATAAGTAACTTATATTCATACTTTCTCTAAGTATAGGTCTTAGTACTTTCAAATATAAAGAAAGATGTGTACTGTGTTTTTTTATTGACACGAAGTGGATGTTCTTTGTAAATAGGTAATTGTCATTTGGTGGGAATGACAAACCATTAAGGTAGGGCTGGGAGGAAGTGCCCCATGGATCCTTGGCTTTGTCGGGTGACCATGGCTCTGAGGCCGGGCAGGCCTGACGCGGAGCCCTCCCGGTCACTGGAGGTCACTCGTGGTCTCGGTGCACACTGGTCCATCTTGTTGGCCACAGATGGGGATGTGAGGTTCCATGGACTCTGGAGCTGGAAAGAAGTCAGGTAGAGCTGGAAAGAAGGAAAGGAAGGGAGGTAGAGAAGGCAGGAGAGAAGGCAGGTAGAGCTGGAAAGAAGGTAGTAGCTGGAAAGAAGGTAGTAGCTGGAAAGAAGGCAGGAGCTGGAAGGTAGGCAGATTTGGGGCAGGAGAACAGGAAAAATGGAGAAGGTGGAAATCAGAGAGTTCTGTAGTTTGAGCAACCTGAGCAGCTTGCTTATGGCCTGGTTGTATATCTGAGTTCCCTCCTTCCCCATCTGTCTCCCCACCTGAAAATATGGTCAGTCTGAAAACCACATTTGGATTTTCTAAGTAAAATAGCATTGGAATCTGAGTTTTGCCATTCATTCCTTTCTTGGTATTATATTGGCATCTGTCCATTTATATAACTATACCTGGAGTGTTTGCTTTGATGTTGATTTGCCAGGCTTAGCAGAGCAGAAGGTATGCGTCCTCACAGTAAAAAGGAGTGAAAGTCAGCCGGGCCTGGAACATGCCTGGAGTCCTAACACTCTTGGAGGCTGAGTCAAGAGGATTGCCGAATGTTCCCCATCAACCTGAGCTATGTAGCAAGACCCTGTCTCAAAAGAAGAAGAAGAAGAAGAAAAAAAAAAAAATGTGTATATATATATATATATATATATATATATATATATAGTAGAGAGTTAACTACAAAATTACATTTGAAATTAAAGAGATTTTTCTGCAGTTTTTGATAGAGAAGTATACGTTAGTAAAAATCTTAATAAATACTGTTCTGGAATATAATAAAAAATTCAATGTCTATTTTAACAGGCCAATAGCAGGATATGCTAACCTGTGTCCAAATATGATCTCTACCCAGCCTCAGGAGTTCATCGGGATGCTGTCCACAGTGAAACACGAGATTATCCACGCCCTGGTAAATGTGCTCTCTACTGTCCTTTCCTCCTTATCTTGTTTTCCTCTTAGTCTGCTTTCTTGTTGATGCATATTTAAAATTTTGAGGTTAGTGAGTTCTTAGCTTCATGCTCAGTAAAACCTGATTAAGTAGGTTACTGTGGAGGAAGAATTTTTTGATGATTAAGAGAGTGTACTGATACATGCCTGTAATCCCAGCACTCTTGCAGCCTGAGGCAGGAAGACCACAAGTTCAAGCCCAGCCTGGGCAATTTATAGACTTAGTAAGATCCTGTCTCAGAAAATAAAGAAGGCTTGGGATATAGCTCAGTTTGAAGGCCCTAGGTTCAATCCCTTATACTGTTCAAAAAAAAAAAAGACAATACCTAAGTTGCAATTTGCTATTTAATATAACATATGACTAAACAAATAAATCTATTGAGTAAATAATTTAAAGTTGCCTAAGACCTTAGGCAGAGGTCTCCTGATACTTTGCAGGTGTATTCAGGCAGTAGAGGGCAGCAAAACACACTGGTTAAGAGAGAACAGGTCTGGATATGGCTTTCTTAGTTGGGAGACTAGAAATCTTTGTGATCTTGGGCAAGGTAGGCAGCTTTGGAAGCCTGAGATTCATCTGTGATACAAGGACAGTAACAGTACATGCTACAGTGGATATTTTTTCTTTTTTCTTTTCTTTTCTTTTTTTTTTGGTGCCAGGGATCGAACTCAGGATCTTGCCCTTGCAAGGCAGGTGTGGCGCCACTGAGCAAAATTCCTGGGCCTGGATATTTTTTCTTGAAGCATAAATAAGACAATATATATAGGGCCGGGGATGTAGCTCAGTGGTTTTGCCGCCTGCTGCGCAAGTGCAAGGAACCAAGTTCGATCCCCGGTACCAAAAAAATCCCAAAAAAACAGACAATATATATAAATTGGGTACATCATCCACACTGTCCCTACTAAGCTGTAATCTAATTGGTGGCTGTTATTTGTCTTACTTGGTGAGCTATCATATATGGCCTTGAAATACAAGCTTTAGTCTTTCAGTTAGCAAATACAATAACAAGGTGAAACCCTAACCAGAGAATAGTTATGTTCTTCATGTTAGGAGATTCTAAAATAACATATCTTGTTTTTCCTTTTATTAAAAAGAGCAAGTTGAGGGCTGGGGATTTAGCTCAGTGATTTTGTCGCCTGCTGCACAAGCACAAGGATCCAAGTTCGATCCCCAGTACCAAAAAAGCAAGTTGAAGAGCTATGGGTGTATCTTAGTGGCAGAGCTCTTGTGTAGCATGCACAGGCTATGGGTTTGATCCACAGCACTGCAAAAAAGAGAGACAGAGTGAGAGAGAAAGCAAGTTGAGCCTCCTGATTCCTGTTCATTCTAATGAAAGATAAGCATCATTGTAAGTAAGAGTTTAAGCTACAAGAACTATGCACATTTCATGTTGGGAGAGAAAATGGTGCCACAAATAAAGAAACAAACAAATTAACTAAACTTAGTCTGTTGCCTTCTCAAGAGGATCACAAGTTTGAGTCCAGGTTGGTCAAGTTAGACCCTGTCTCAAAGTAAAAAATTTTGAAAAGGTCTGAAGATGTAGCTCAGTGCAGAGGCCCTAGGTTCCATTCCCAGCAAAGATAAATAAATCTGATTATACACACACAAATTCATCTTGAAACTGGTATATAGGTGATTTCACTTATGCTACCACCAGAAGAAACGTAGCTTGTCAACAGGTACATGTTCAGGATTCTTTGTTACATGTTTGCATACACATTTCTAGTCTTCAGTAGTGTGCACAGGTGTTGCTCATGTGGAGTCCTGCATGAGACGTGCACTCTGAGATCTGACTGTGGGTTGCGTGCCCCTGGTCCCCTCTTAGGGGGCTGCGCTCACTGTGGCTCCCCGGGCTTCTGCACAGAGGAAGTGAGATAATAGCTTTTCACACAAAGTTTTTCCTGTCTTGAAAAAGGAAGCTGAAAGGGCTATGAAAGTACATGTTCAGGTATGTGGAATCCTTTGTGGGAGAAAGTAGGGATCACGCTACCCTCTCGAAATTACAGGAAAGGAAGTTATTAGCTAAATAATGATTTCTTCCTCTGTCTATTTGATCATGTAGACATGTACATGTTCTTGGTAATCTTTTTTTAATGTTTTGGTATTTTGAGACAGGGTCTCACTATGTAGTACAGGCCAGCTTTGAACCCCCTAATGTAGCCCAGGCTGTCATCATACTCTAGTGATCCTCCTGAGTGGTGAGATTATAGGCGTGTACCACCATGCACAGCTTGCTCTTGGTAATTTTTAATCAAAGTCATTGATTTTCTATTGGCCAAGTGTCTGCCATGCCGTGTATCATGTGTACTGCTTCTGTCAGTTCAACCCCAGTACTGTGTCCGGAACTGATGTCTAAGAGGGTCTCAAACAAGGAAAACGCCCAAGGCAACTTGAAAAGGCAGAGAGGAGTTAAAAACATAATAGCTGTGTTCTTTAGTAATTATACTGAAAATAATTGTAAAATGTGCATTTTGTAAAAACTTTGATGGAAAATGTTTAGTTAAAATTCATAACATAGCACACTTGGAGGGTACAAGAAGTTTCCAGCCGGGTTGGCTGGGCTCGGCTCAGCACTTTTACTGAGCTCCCAATAGCAGGCACTTTATGCTGTCGGTAATCAGACTCCCTCTTCTCACTTGAAGACATGTCTAACTTCTTCTCACAGGGCTTCTCTGCTGGCCTGTTTGCCTTCTACCGTGATAAAGATGGAAATCCTCTAACTTCAAGGTTTGCAAATGGTCTCCCTCCTTTTAATTACAGGTATTTGCTGTTTTTATTCTTGTTCTCTTCCTTTGGGAGGCCACTAACATGTTGGAATGTGAGAATCCTGCCATGTTAGGTGCCATAAATAATAGTGTCTTTATGGCTCAGCTCAGGAAATTGTAGATTAAAGCAAGACAGGACCTAGGAGCTCTGTTGGCCTCAGGATTTATTCAAGAAGCCAGTGCATTTCTTGCCAGGGCTTGGAACTTCCATTACCTTAAAGGCTGTGGGAAATGGGAGTTGGTTATATTGTGCCTTTTTATTATACCTTATTTTATATCTTGGCTCTTAAATAATAACTGCCTGTATATGGCAATATTTTATTTATTTATTTATTTATTTATTTTTTTGGTACCAGGGATCGAACTCTGGTCCTTGCGCTTCTGCAGCAGGCAGCAAAACCACAGAGCTAAATCCCTGGCCCCTATATGGCAATATTTACATGTCAACTGATTTTTTTTTTTAAACTCAGGATATTAGCCGTGATCGAGAGATTCAGGGCCTAAGCAGAAAAAAATTGGCATGAATTTTACAGAAAATATCAGTCACAGAATAGTAACCATTTGCATGCATTTGTATTTTAAAAACTAAATTAGCCCAGCTTTGTGGTACTTGTAATCCCAGCACAGGAGACTCCCAAGTGGTGCTGATACTGGCTTATGCTTTATTGGGGAGTGCTAGTGTTTGTACTTAAAATCTCATACTTATAGCTGGGTATGGTCGTGCATGCCTGTAATCCCAGCACTCAGGAGGCAGAGGCAGGGGATTGTCGTAAATTTGAGGCCAGCCTGAACTACACAGGGAGACCCTGTCTCAAAACAAAACAAAACAAAACAACTCAAGACTTGTTTATGTATATTTTACTTCAGTTACAAAGATTTCTAGTAGTTTATATTATATAAGTAGCCGGGTGTGGTGGTCCACACCTGTAATGTCTGCACCTAGAGCTGAGGCAAGAGGTTTACCCTGAGTTTGAGCCCAGCCTGGGCTACCTGTTAGCTCAATGAGCTAGATAGTGAGATTCTGACTCAGATAAGTAAATAAAAGCAAGTAATATTTTTATAGTACGTGTAAAGAAAGAAAATTGTGACGCAGAAGTACATGTTATTCTTCTAGATTGTGCTTATTTATTTGGTAATGGGAGAAGTCATCTTTCCTAAGAATTGTGGTCTTCATGGAAAACATATAAATGATGGCTGGGAGTATTGGTGCATGCCTGTAATCCCAGCAATTGGGAAGCTGAGTCAGGAGGATCACCATGAATTCAAGGGCAGCCTGAGCTACTTAGTGAGATTCTGTCTCAGAAAACAAACGAAAAAGGACTTCTGGAAGATGGTGGAGCGGTGAGCAGTAGAGAAAAAAAGATGACATTGACACCATCTACGTAGTGATGTAAGATGTAGAGAGAAACCCACATACCATAACACTTATGAAGCTGATAATTTGTGAAATCTTCCAGTATAAATGGAGTTAATAGATTTTGTTATCACACATAGAAGGAATTGGAGTTAGACTGAACATGGTGGCACACACCTGTAACTGTAGCACTCAGGAGGCTGAGGCAGGAGGATTGTTGGGAGTTCTAGGCTAGCCTGGGCTACATAGCAGAAACCCTGTTTCAAAAAATAAAAAAATTGGATTTGGTTCTAGCCTGTCAGTTTGGAAAAATTGTTAATCTTGAAGTATGACTGGAGAAGAGGGTGTTGGAGTGATTAATAAAGGTAAAAACTGTTTATTTCCTGGATATCTTTGGTCATTCTGTATTTAAATGTTGCCTTACAGTGAAAAGGATGAAAGGAATTAAATATCATCTCTCTCAGACATGGGTAGGGTGGTACAACAGATGTTTTAGAAATTGTTGATTGAAGAAAATAGCTGACCGGTGGGTCTTGGGTAGAAGAATGCTCACTGTATAGCTCCTAACAGTTATTATTTTAAAAATTTTCATAAAATGTCAAAAAGTAACTTTTTAAAAATTTTGTTTTATTAGTGAAAATAAGAGATTCCTAGAATAGTAGAAATAATCTAGGACAAAAGCCAGAAAAAAATGATTTGCTTTATAGGGGAAAATCAAAATCAGTGAAGCCCTGAGTTCAGTCCCTTGTACCAAAAACAAAAGGAGAGAAAAGAGTTACTATGTTACATTTTTCCCTGTGCTAGGGTTTGAGCCCAAGGCCTCATGCATGCTGGGAAATCACTTATCACTGAGCTACCCAGGCTTTTTTGTTTTATTTTGAGTCAGGGTCTACTAAATTGCCCAAAGCAGCCTCAAACTTTTGCCAAGTGCTGGGATTACAGAGTGCACCACCACACCTGTCTCGGGCATGTGTTTTGCCTGTCAGCTCTCTTCAGTGGCTGGCAGGCTGTTCTTTTTTTTGTTGTTCTTTTTGTTTTGTTCTTTTGGTACCGGGGATCGAACTTGGGTCCTTGCACTTGTCCAGCAGGCAGTAAAACCACTGAGCTAAATCCCCGGCCAGGCTGTCCTTTTTTAACTGTAATTGTAGTGGTGGTTTTCATGCTCCATGCTATTGGAGAGAAGGTGAGGAAGGACACCACAAACTTGCTGGGTTTTTTTTTTGTTCTTTTTGTTTTTTTGGTACCGGGGATTGAACTCAGTTCCTTGCGCCTGCACAGCAGGCAGCAAAACCACTGAGCTAAATTCCCGGCCCAAACTTCCTTAAGTTTTTAATGAGATTGTTACCCAGTAGTCTGCTTCTAAAAGTGGCTACCTAAATAAACCTTACCAGGTTTTGTGATGCACATGTCTCCTCCTGGAGTTGGATTCAGGGTTGTTTGCCTCTCGAGCAAAGAATTGAATGAAATGAGTAAAAGATGGTGAAAAAGTTTGTTTGAAAAAGTAAAAGTGAAGAATGAGGGAGAAATTGGTTCTGCAGAGAGAGCTTGGGCTGAGTAAAAGAAGAAAATGCAAGATGAAAGTACACTGTGGAAGATAAAGAACAGGCTATTCTGAGGAAAGCCACAGTAGTGAGTACATTGAGGCATCTGTGTCTTTTTATGCTGTCCAGTTCTCGAGGAATCCCAAGAGAACTCTACATATGGGTCCTGAGAGGCAGTCCCCCAGGATCCAGCGCCTCAGGCTGACGTCAGGTCTAGACACCCTATTGAAAACCTGCTGGAGTTCTCACAGGAAGCCCAGCTTAATTTCATATGTTCATAAAAAGTGGTACCGGGGATTGAACTCAGAACCTTGTGCTTGCCAGGCAGGCGTGGCGACACTGAGCTACATCCTGACCCTTATAAAAATTTTTAAAGTGATAGTGAATTTGCAAAAATAACTTTTTATTCTATACTTGCAGTCTTGGGTTATATCAGTGGAGTGATAAAGTAGTTCGCAAAGTGGAGCGATCATGGAACGTCCGTGATAATAAGACAGTTCATCACCCTGTGTATCTCCTTGTGACCCCTCATGTTGTGGTGAGTATCACTGAGTGGCTTCATGTCTCACGAGCTGTCCTTCATTATGGCATGGGTTTACTGATCATTAAAGTTTAAGAACTTACAAAGTTAAAGTCCACATTGAGAGAGACCCAGGATGTAGAAATTTGGCAATGGCTCTGCTCCCCAACAGCCCCTACCACTATGTGGCGATGCTGCCTCTGTCACAGTGTCTCTTAGGACTTCAGGGAATATTTTCACAGTCGAGGATCAGTTCCCTGGAGGCTCTGTATTGTCAAGGTCCAAGGGAAAGAACCGACAGGATGTGTGGGGATGTGCTGGGGGCGGCACAGGCTGCACACACAGGGAGGGACTGCAGGTGGATCCAAAGGCAGAGTTCTCTCCAGCTGGGGGCGCTCAGTCTGTTTTGTCTGAGCCTGCACCTGGTAGAGTGAGGCCCGTCACAGTTGGAGGGTGACGTGCTTTCACCCACTGATGTCCATGTCGATCTCCCTGGTGAGTGGCATTTGTACAGAAATATCCAAGTGTACAGGCACTGGAGCCATCACAGGGTCCCCCACCCTTCACACAGCGCTCCTCCCCTCCCCGTCCTCTGCCCACGCAGCTCTCAGCCTTCTGAACTTTTGCTCTGCTCCCAGACATTTCCCAGCCCTGGAAATCTCCAGCTGAAGGACAGGAAACCCAGTGAGCAATTTATCTTCCTTTGAACACCTTGGTTTTCCCCTACAAAGACTACTTCATAATAGGAGTAGTTTATACCACATTAAAGTTGTTCTGGAGAGGTCAGGGGTAGCTGCATTTACCTCAGACCAAATAGACTTCAAGTTGGAAATGGTCAAAAGGGAGGGTGAAGTACTGTATAATGACAGAGGATGGAGCAGGCATAAAGGTGTATAGGCCCAGAGTCAGGGGACCTAGACATACCAGAAAAATTACCAAGTAAAGGGAGAGGTAGGGGCCTCCATGGTCCACTGTCACCAGTGGGTTGTGTCACCAACTCCCAGGCAGAAATTGACAAGGAAACCTGAATGACACCTAGACACTTAGACCAGCAGACACGCTCGGAGCTTTCCATCCAGTGTAGCAGAATCTTCTCAAGGGCACAGGGAGTGTTCTCCAGAACACATTACCTGTTAAAACATAGAACAAGACCTAACAAGAAGATTGAACTTGGCCTGGGGATTTAGCTCAGTGGTTCCGGTGCCTGCTGTGCAACCCCAAGGTCCCGAGTTCAATCTCCGGTACCAAAAAAAAAACAAAAAAAACCCAAGAAGATTGAACTTTTCCAGCCACAGAGGTGTGACAGGAATTACTAACAACAGAAATTTCAGAAGTTCATGGAAGTTAAATAATATGCTCCTGAACTACCGGTGGGTTAATGAAGAAATTAAAGGGGGCGCTGAGGGTGTCAGGGTGCTTGCATAGCGTATATGAGGTGCTGGGTGATAGATAGCTAGATGGCTAGGAAATTTAATACCTTGAAGCAAATAAAAATGAAAATAAAACATGCCAAAATTTATGTAGCAAAAATAGTTCTAGGGAAGTGTACAGCATTGAAGAACTACATCAAAAAAGAACCAGCCCGTGTAGTAGCCTTGCCGGTCTTTCTCAAACTTTTCCAAAAAATTGAAGAGGAAGGAATACTTCCAAACTGTTTTCACAAGACCAGCATTATCCTGATATCAAAGTCAGATGGGAATAGTTGTGTTGGGTTTGGTTTGGTCTTATTTTTGTGAGACAAGGTCTTACTGTGCAGTCCAGGCTGGCCTTGGACTCACGAGATCCTCCTCCATCAGCTTCCTGAGCTGAGTTAGATAAGAACATTATGAGAAAAGAGAGTCCCAGTATCTTTTTTTTTGGTACCGGGGATTGAAGTCGGGTCCTTGTGCTTGCACAGCAGGTGGCGAAACCACTGAGCTAAATCCCTGGCCCCTGAGTCCCAGTATCTTTGGCAAATATACTGTGGATGCAGAAATCCTCAACAAAGATCCCAAGTTTGTGGCCAGCTTGGGCAACTTAGTGAGACCCTGTCTCAAAACAAAAAAAAAGAAAGGGCTGGGGATGTAGCTCTGGTAGAGTGGCGCTGGGTTCAATCCCAGTACTACTAAAAAAAAAAAAAAAAAGGCAAGGGACTTTGAATTGACATTTCTCAATTTAAAAAAATACAAATGACCAACAGGTATATAAAAATGTTCAGTATCACAGATTATTAGAGAAATGCAAATTAAACCTGAAATGAGACATCGTGTCTCCTGTCAGGATGGCTGTGATCAAAGGACAGGGCAGCACAAACTGGCAGGGACGCTGTGGGGAAATCTGAATAAGTCACCATTGTGATTAAGACAGTCACCAGAGAGAGGAGGGATACAAAAAATAGTAATTTCCTAGCAAACAGGTGTGTGACACCATCCAAATATTTAATTCTATTACAAACCTTACTTAAAAAGGAACCTTTCTGTTCCTACCAAAGTAATTCTTTAATCTTTATTATTTTATTTTTATTTTTTATTTTTTTGGTTTTTTGAGGCAGGGTCTCCCTTTGTAGTTCAGGCTGGCCCTGAACTCACTATGTAGCCCAGGCTGGCCTCCTGCTTCAGCCTCCCCAGTGCTGGAATTACAGGTGTGCACCACCACGCCCAGCCCTCTCTAATGTTTATTATATCCAGGTGATAAGAAGTTTCCCTTATCTTTTGAGAGATTTATACTTTTTTTTAGGATGAAGCACGAAAACATTTTAAATGTTCACTTCTGGAAGGAATGGAGCTTGAGAATCAAGGTGGGCTAGGCACAGAGCTCAACCACTGGGAAAAACGGTTATTAGAGGTCAGTTCATTTTTAAATTTTTCTTCTTTTTTTATTGTAAAAGGTATTTATACTCATGGTAAAAGTTATTCAACAGATTATAAACTAAGAAATTTAAAAGTCTTCTTTCCCTTTCAGCTCTCCAGATCCACTTTCCAGATTTTTGTTTTTTATGTATATATATATTTTTGAGACAGGCTCTCACTAGTTGTTTTTTGTGTTTTTTTTGGTACCAGGGATCGAACTCGGGTCCTTGCACTTTAGGGGCAGGTGGCGGGCAGGTGGCAGAACCACTGAGCTAAATCCCTGGCCCAGGCTCAAGCTAGTTTAGGCTGGCCTTGAACTCACTATGTAGCCCAGACGGGCCTCAATATTACAGTGATCCTCTGATCCTCCTGCCTCAGCCTCCTAAGTGCTGTTACTACAGGTGTGCACCACCATGCCCGGCTCACTTTCCAAATGTAATCACAAAGCGTTTTGCACATCTGCCATGCCTTCCAGGGGTTGTGTTTCCATGGATGTTTTTAGGTTCAGCTAAACATCAAACTCAGGAGATAGGAAAGCCCACATTTAGCAAAGGTTCCCCCCCGGCGGGCCATTAGTTAGCAGGCCTGGACTCCGAGACTCCAGGCTGTCATCTGGGCCTCTCCCCTCCCCCTCCATCTCAGCACAGGGCCCCCACGCCACAGCATAGGTGTAAAGACTGGCCTGGAGGGCCGGGGATTTAGCTCAGTGGTTTTGTCACCTGCTATGCAAGCACAAAGACCCGAGTTCATCCCCGGTACCAAAAAAACCCAAGACTGGCCTGGAGGAGGAGGCCAGTCTCAAACAGGAACTGTTACCTTGGTAATGGCTACAGGGAGTCCCTGTGTGTTCACAGCAGGCCCCCACCTAGAGGCAGACAAGGGCTTTGTTCCCTCCATACTACTGCCTGCTAACACGGTACTAGTCCACCTTTATTAGACTTCCAGGGGGGCAGAGCTAGGAAGTTAATCAAGGTCACATTTGTTTATATAGAAAGAATAAACCCCTGAAAGTGGAATTTCTGAAGTCAGAAATGTCTATGTGTGGGTATATGTATTTCTTTTTAGGAGTTTATATAATTAGATAGTTGTAACACACATACATCTTGACTAAAGGCAGTCAAATTATGAAGGGAGGCGGACTTGGTGGCACGTACCTATAGTAGCAACACTTGGGAGGCTGAGGCAGGAGGATTGCCATGAATCTGAGGCCACCCTGAGGTACATAATAAATTTAAGACCAGCCTGAACTATACAGGGAGACCCTGTCTCAAAAAAATATATATATATATAAAAAGAGTGAGATTAAGTCAGGTGTGGTGATGCATGTCTATAATCCCAGTAGTCAGGAGGCTAAGATAGGAGGATTGCTGAGAGTTGGAGGTCAAGTTGGGCTACATAATGAAAGCCTGTCTCAACCAAAAAAAAGAGTGAGATTAATGATTGTGCTTACTGTCTTGATCTAGGTGACCACAAAGTAACATATACTTGTAGAGAATTAGAGAATACATATGCACTTACTCCTCTCGTCAGAATTTCTCTTTATTTTCCTTAAGGAATTTTCTCAGGTGATACCCTTTACCACACTTTAGATTGGCCAGAAATGAAAATTTACATACTTCTTAGTAGAAGACCTAAGAACAGTAATTTCACTAATTCCGTCCTTGCTCTGAAGTCAACTTTGTATGCTTAAATTGTGTTTTTTTGTTTTGTTTTGTTTTAGTGGGGGGGTTAATTTTTTTTTTTTTTTTCTTTTGGTACCGGGGATTGAACTCAGGACCTTGTGCTTGCAAAGCAGGCACAGTGCCACTGAGCTAAATCCTTGGCCCAAAGCTATGCACTCTGTGATTCTATTTATACAACATTTTTTTTTTGGAGACAAGATCCAGGCTGGCCTCAAACTCATAGTGAACCTCCTGCCTCAGCCTTCTGAGTGCTGGGATTACAGGCATGCACCACCACACCTGGCGGGTTTTTTTGTTTTTGGGGGGTTTTTTTGGTACCAGGGATCAAACTCAGGATCTTGAGCTTGCGAGGCAGGCAGCAGAACCACTGAGCTAAATCCCTGGCCCCCTTTTTTTTTTGAGACAAGGTCTTACTTTGTGTTCAGGCTGGCCTCTAATTGACTGTGAAGCCCTGAATAGCCTCAAACTTGTGATGATCCTCCTGCCTCAGCCTCCCAAGTTCTGGGTTTACAGACATGCGCCACCACACCCGGCAAATTACTTAAAGAAGAGTACTAAAGTACTTGAAATGTCTATTCAGTGTTCAGTATCAATATTTGAAGAATGATTACAGCTGTTTAAAGATGAAATATGCTCCCATAAGAGGCAGAGAAAGCTTCCCCCGAAGGTAGAAACCTTATGATACAAATGAAAACCCTGGTGGACAGTAGACAAGGTGATACTTCTGGTCCCTCGTGTGTCCCTCAGGTCCTGGGTTCTCTCATTACCTGTTTTGTTATTGCTTTCCTGATCATAAAGTTTGGGGCTGGGAAGCATTTTCTGTGTAATTCAGGTAGTTCATTCCGGCGACCCCTAGTTACCTGGGCACCTGTCTCCACCACTCACTGTACTTCGCCTGGAGGTTGTGCCACTTTCCCAGGAGGACTTCTGGCTCTGCCATGTGTCTTGTTTTCATTTTGTTTTTTTCTGTACTGGGGATTGAACTCGGGTCCTTGCCCTTTCAAGGTGGGTGGCAGAATCACTGAGCTAAATCTCTGGCCCTTCATTTTCATCATAAGCTCCCCAGTGCTGCTTGGCCACCATTGTACCTGATGGGCACATCTGAGGCAAAAAAGAGATTTCATTTGAAGCTTCAGTTTAGGCATTTTAAAGAAGGCTTTTTATGTTTCACCATTGTGTGTTTGTTTTGTTTTGAGACAGAGTCTCTGTATGTAGCCCAAGCTGTCCTCAAACTCCCAGTGATCCTCCTGCCTCAGCCTCCTGAGTGCTAGGATTACAGGCGTGGACCACACCTGGCTTTATATTGCCATTTTTAAGTAAATGTTTTATCTCCTGCTCACTTGACATATTTTAAATATACACCAGAGCAATCACAGAAATTACTGGGAGTTCTAAAGCCATACTCTAATTAAAGTCTGCTGGTGATTTTCAGAATGAAGCAATGACGGGTTCTCACACCCAGAACCGAGTCCTCTCTCGAATCACCTTGGCGTTAATGGAGGACACTGGGTAAGAAAGCTGTGAGAATGTGATATGAATCATCATTTTTTGTTTTGTTAAGACAGGGTCTTGCTGTGTAGTTCAGGCTGGCCTTGAACTCACTTTGTAGCCCAGACTGGCCTCAAACTCACAGCCATCCTCCTGCCTCAGCCTCCTGAGTGCTGGGATTATAGGTGTGCACTGTTACTGATGGCTAAATCTCAATTTAAAAAAAAATACATGCATACATTGAACTCACAACTCCATACATATGCATAGCCTCTTGCTAACTTAGGTCTTTGACTTGAGTCCCTTCATGTGTGAAATGGGGCTGGAGGGGATGCCTCGTAGTGTTTAGGAGCCCTAAGTGGGTCAGGACAGGGAAAGCCCTCGGTGCATCACCTACCATCGTGACCTCACACTGAGCATCAGCTTTATAATAAACTCGCTGGTGACAGAGTCTCAGAGTCTCGGGAGCAGCACTCTAATACCTGCAGTGCTGTCCATTAGCCTATTGACCTTCAGAGAAAGAAATGTTAACCAAGATTCACTAAGTCCATCACATGCCTCACTTGGGCTACTCAGAAACCTCTTTCTAAGGCCCCCCAGCCCTCTCTGAGCTCAAGTCCACTCAGTGGGATTCAGCTCAACACTGCTTCCTTGGGAAAACTTGCAAATCCCTGGCAGATGGGCACGGCTTCCCTGTTAACCTGCTCCTGGGAGTGCCTCGCACTTGACTTTCCTGATACTCACCACAGGAAGATCTTTTCCTGTCCACCTTCCCTCTACGTTAACATCTTCATGGGCGAAGAAACTGACTTTATTCATTCACTGCTGTTGCCTCGGCACCTAGCAAGTGCTGCCAAGCCAGGTCATCCAGTGGTCCAGGACTCTGATTGCCCACCTTTGTCCACAGAGTGAGCACTTCCGGTCGGTGCAGCAAGCTGACCCCTAGTGTGCAGGGGCAGACACCTGTTCTTTCCCGACGTCCAAACATGGTGTCGGAGCACTGACGCCTCTCTTCAGCTCTCAGTGAGAAGTGTGTTCTTGAAAGCAGTGGCCTGGAAGGCACCACATCACCTGTTTCTGCTTTTACTTGATTTTGTGGGAAGAGGAATGACGGGATGATTCCTACCATTCCTTTGAGGGTGTGTTTTGGTTTACTAAGGGTTCAAGATACATACAGATAGGTAAGAAATTGTTTTGTATCCTTTAGACATTTTGCAAACTAATCTTGTCCCGGAGGAAAAAAAAGAGAAAAGAATAAGCCAGTGTGGTAGTACACACCTCTAATCCCAGCTACGTAGGAGGCTGAGACAGGAGGACCACAAGTTTGAGGCCAGCCTGGGCAACTCAGTGACTTAGCAAGGCCTTGTCTTGAAATAATAAGACTGGAATGTAGCTCAGTGGCAGCGCAGTTGTCCAGCATCTGCAAGGCCCTGGGTTCCATCCCCAGAACCAAAAAAAAAAAGAGGAAAAAACTAACAAAAGTAGACTCATTGCCTTTGATTAAACTTGTCAAGAAACAAAATGTTGTCTTTTTTCTGAAATTAGAACGTTTAAAAAGTGTTGCAAATAGTTTTCACTTGGCCTATGATAATGGCATAATGTTTAGTGGCAGACAGGGTCATTACTGATAGGACGTCGAAAAACCAAGACCGAAGAGTGGGAGCCCAGGCCCCTGAGCGCCGTCAGGCCTGGGCTGCTCGCTGGCCACCCCGCCGCGTCCTCCTCGGTGTCCGCCCTCATTTCCCCTGTTCCTCCAAGTCCTCCTCTCCCTCATCTCACATCCCATCCATGTCCTGCTCCGAAACCCTGCTGCCTTTGAGACTTACAGTGGAAGTGTGCTGTGTCTTGCCATCCAAAGGCAAACGTCCTTTCTTGTGGGCCTGGTTGCCCGTCCTGCTGCTGTGACCCCGTGTGGCAGCTCCCTCTCTGCAGAGGCTTTGTTTACGCTTGCTGTGGCCATGGCCTCCCGAGTCCCATAAAGGGTCCTGATTTGCTTGATGTTGAGATTTGTAATCCATATGCTAGACTTGTATTTAGTTTTTTATTTTTATTTTTTGAGACAGGATCTTTCTCTGTTGCCTGGGTTGGCCTTGGACTCATGGCACTCTTCCTGCCTCAGCCTCCAGAGGGCTAGGATTACATCTGTCTAAAACGTCCCTTCCCCACTTGAGATTTGTTTTTTAAATGACAGTGACAACAGCGTTCTGTTTGAATTCTTCCCACAGCTGGTATAGAGCGAACTACAGCATGGCTGAGAAGCTAGACTGGGGCCTTGGGATGGGCTGCGACTTCGTGAAGAAGAGCTGCAAGTTCTGGATGGATCAGCAGAGACAGAAGTAAGTGCCTGTCTTGTCACAGTGCCTCTAGTTATGCAGTTCATTTCTGATTTGGGTCTTTATCCCATTTGAGACAGGTTCTCTCTGTGTAGCCCAGGCTGGCCGTGAACTCATGACAGTCCTTCTGCCTCAGCCTCCCAAGTGCTGGGATTACAGGTGTGCGCCGCCACTCCTGACTAACTCATCAGACTTTATAAAAATACCAATAGTATCCAAGTTTGGGAAGGACATATGTTAGGGACACTTATGCATGTTTAGCAAATATATGGAATCTGTATTTTTTACAACAGTGCTCTCCACATAAAAAGTTAAATATATCTCAGTACATTGATTTTCCTAAGTACATTTTGCAAAGCTGTCATGAAGCATCCTGATGGGGACGCTGACACTGATATATCGGATCTGTGTCCCTTTGTGGCTGCACCATTTCCCTCCCAACGCAGCCCGTCCTTAACCGTGGAAAGCATTCCTTGTTCTCTCTCTCTGTCTGTAATTTCGTCATTTCAGAAATGTTAATTAGAAATGTCATACACATTTCAAGCTGGATATGAATATTGTATGTAAACTTCTGAGTTTGTTTAAACATTCACGCAGTGAGGGATGTCTGGGCTGTTTCCAGTTTGGGGCTGTTGGGAATGAAATGGCTGTAGACATTTGTGTCCAGGATGTGGTGTGAACATAAATCTTCATTCCCACAAGAGAGATGTCTGGGAGGGCAGCAGCTGGCCCATGCCTTAGCTGCAGATTCAGTTTGTGAGAAACCTCCCAGACTTTTTCCAAAACATTGTACCATTCCAAGTTCTCGCTGCACCGTGGCATGGTGGTCTCTTCACGCCTTTCCAGCATCTGTGTTTTTGTTTTAGCTCTTCTCATAGGAACTCTGAGATTTTTAATTTGCCTTTCCTTAAAGGTTATTGTGTTGAACATCTTTTCAGGTGCTTATTTGCCTTCTGCATGTCCTCTTTGGTGAATTGTCTCATGTGTTAAGCCACTTTTTAATTGGACTGTTTGCTTTTTACGAGTGTGTTTTGAGTGTTTTTATATATTCTAGATTCTAGTTCTTGTCGTGCATGTGTGTGTGTGTGCACACGCGGGTGCATGTATTAGACCCAGCTGTGTGTTACTACTGAGCTACATCTGCATTCCTTTTTACTTTTTATTTTATTTTTTATTTTTATTTATTTATTTATCTCTTTGGTACCAGGGATCAAACTCGGGACTTTGTGCTTGCAAGGCAGGCGGTGGAACCACTGAGCTAAATCCCCGGCTTTACTTATTATTTTTGATATAGGGTCTCACTAAGTTGCCCAGGCTAGGTTTAGATTTGCAATCCTCCTGCCTCAACTTCCTAAGTATTGGAGGTTACAGGTATGCACCACCATACCTGACTCAGATATGTAGTTTTGCAAGTACAATGGACCCTTGACTTACAAAATCAATTCATTCCTGAGGTCTGGTTGTAACTTAAGTTGGTCAGTTGAAGGCTCAGGCCCCTCTACACAGCCTTCAAAGTCTCTCTCCTGTGTACAGGCAGATCTGTGTCCTTAGAGAGAGACATTGGCCCAGGATTTCTCAGTTAACCCCACACAGGAAGGATGTTGTAATGCTCCTTCCAGAGTTCTGTAAGGGTTAAATCTGTATCTGAGACCATCTGGAAGCACAAGCAGCTGGCATTCGGGTCATAACTCAAGACTTTAGTCATAAGTTAAAAACTAAAATTCCAGTCATAACCCAAGTTGTTCATATGTCAGGCTGGTAGTAACTCAAGGGTCCACTGTATTTTTTCCTGTCTGTAACATGTCTTTTTATCTTTTTACTAGGGGATTTTGTAAAGCAAATGTTTTTAGTTTTAATGATGTCCAAGTTACCAGTTTGTCCTTTATGAATTATATTTTTTTGGAAGAGGGTTCGGTACCGGGGATCAAACTCAGGTCCTTGCGCCTGTGCAGTAGGCGGTGAAACCACTGAGCTAAATCCCTGGCCCTTGAATTATATTTTTAACAGAGTCTTACTTTGTGCTCCAGGCTGCTATAGAACCTGCAACCTTCCTGACTCAGCCTCCCAAATGCTACAATTACAGGCGTGTACCATGAAGTGTGGCTGAATTAAGTTTTTAATGTTAAGTCTCGTAACTCTTTGGCAAGCCCTACATCTCAAAATTTTCTTAGATTTTTTTCAGAGTTCATAATAGGCTGAGGGTACAGCTCATTGCTAATGTCTAGCATTGTACAAGGTGCTGATTTGATCCCCAGCACTGCCCCAAAAAAGTTTTACAGTTTTCCACTTTGTATTTGAGTGTATGACCCATGTTGCGCTGCTAGTGTGGCTCATACTTCTTGTGAGGGTGCCTGGCTGTGCCTGCCCGCTCCTGAGAAGGCTGGCTGTGCTCCTGCAAGTGGCCTTTGTGCCTCTGTCCCCAGAGGTCAGTGGGTGTGTGGCTCTGCTCACTGGTCCCCGCGCTGCCCTCCTTTGAGTAGCACAGCCCTCGGTCACCCCAGCACGCAGGCATCTTGAAATTGGTGGGCTGAGACTGATTGAACTCGGGACCTTGCGCTTGCAAGGCAGGCGCAGTGCCACTGAGCTAAATCCCTGGCCCAATTCAGGCTAGTCTTAAACTCAACTGTGTAGGCCAGCTTGGCCTCAAACTCTGTGACCCTCCTGCCTCAGCTTCCTGAGTGCTGGGAGACAGTAGGTGTGTGCCATCATGCTCAGCTGGTCTCCTGTCCTTTAAGTCAGAAGCCAATGGTCAGCAAACTTTTGTTGGTAAAAAAGAAAAACATCTAGGGCCAGGGATTTAGCTCAGTGGTTTTGCCGCCTGCTGCGCAAGTGCAAGGACCTGAGTTCTATCCCTGGTACCAAAAAAAAAAAAAATCTAGTAAATATTTTAGCGTTTGAGAGTTGTTAGAATATTTGTTACAGCCACCCAATTCTACTTCTGCATGGCAGGAGATGTGGACAGTATGGCTGTGTTCGGGTTATACTTTAGTGGTAGAGCATTTGTGTAACATACTCGAGGCCCTGGGTTCCATCCCTGGCACTGGGAAAAGGTAAAAAAAAGTTGTGGAAAAACCAAGCACACAGAAAGCAGGTCCTATGCCTGAAATCCCAGCACTCAAGAGGCTGAGGCAGAATCGCCGTGAATTCAAGGCCAGCCTAGACTACATAAGGAGATCCCGTCTCAAAAGAAAAGAAAGAAAAGAAAAGGAAGGAAGGAAGGAAAGAAAAGAGAGAGGAGAGGAGGGGAGGGGAGGGGAGAAAAGAAAAACAAGCAAAAAAAGAAAGCGGTTCCTAGGTAGGATTCTCGGCCGGGATTGAGCTTGCCAGCCCCTGTCCTGCACATTCAGTGTCCCACACCTGAGGGTTGAAGTGCAGGATTCATACAGGACAGAGGCATCTCTGGTGCCACAGGCCCCTCTGGCTGTGTCCCTGAGTCTCCTGGGATCCCAGTGAACTCCTGGGACAGGGCTGCAGCTTAACTTCTGTGCTGTCAGCTGTGCCTCGGCTCCTGGTGGCAGGGAATGGTGTGGGTTAACTGGCTGGCCTGCTGGAGTCTCTTGAGTCCGCACACCCTCCGAGCAAGGGCCCGGGATCTGGCCCAGGCCACATATGCTAGGCACTCGCCCTGCGGGTGGGCTGCATCCCCGGTCTTGGTCCTGTGTTGAAGCAGCTTCTCCACTGAGATCCTTCAACATTCACCCTAAGCTGCCTCGGCCCATACAGGGCCATTGGTTGTGGGTGTGGATTTAATTTTACAGTTTAATCAAGTAGCGCTAATAAGTCCCATTTGAAAAGTTAATAGCTGTGGCTGGTTAGCGGCAGCTGTGTCCGACGATGCAGACCTCGACATTTCTGTCCCTGCAGGCAGGTCCAGGGCAGGAGCCTTGAACAGCTCCAACTTTGGGACTTTATAAGTCACTAATTTGTCTGCTTGTTTGGTGGTACTAGGAATTCAACCCAGGGCCTTAGCCCTGAGCTACCTTCCCAGCCCTTTTATATTTTTTATTTCAAGATAGGATCTTGCTAAATGATTAATTTGCCCAGGCTGAACTTGAACTTGTGATGCTTAAATCACTTAAATTTTTCAGTGTTTTTTTGTTTGTTTCACTTTTTAGTTTGAACTCTTTCTTTCTTTCTTTCTTAGCCCTGGGTATTAAAGCCAGGTTCTTGCACATCTCACAGATGCGGGGCAAACGTGACCGCAGAGCTGCATCCCCAGCCCAGATGTTTTGGAAATTCAAATTAGACAAGGATTGGTCTTCCCTAAAATACAACCAAAATAGACTTTTCCCCTTAACAAACGTGTGGTAGAAGAAGAACACCAGTGATACTATCATAATTTTATAGGTTCTCTTTTATTAGGATTTCTGTTGCTTAGGAATGCTGGCCCTCATTTATGACATTCCTGTTATGGCATTGGTGCAATTTTTATTCTAAATTACCAGTTTGAGCTGGGGGTGGTGACGCACAAGTATAATCCCAGCACTCTGGGAGGCTGAGGCAGGAGAATCACTGCAAGTTCAAGGCCATCCTGGGCTACATAGTAAGACCCTGTCTCAAAAAGAAAAACAACTTTATAACCTGAGTCAGCAATTTACTACAGGCTATCAAGTGTACTGTTCTGAAATTGTAATTGAAAGATGAGCTCAACAGTGGGCCTGTGGTGTTTTCCTTGGTGTTGATGCCACGGTGCGTGCCTTTGTGTGCTGCAGGGGCCAGGCGCTGAGCCCTTACTGTGATACACTCAGGAGCAGCCCGCTACAGCTGACCTGCAGGCAGGACCAGAGGGCCGTGGCTGTGTGCAATCTGCAAAAGTTCCCTAAGCCTTTGCCGCCAGAGTACCAGGTAACACTTGTTCTAGCACAGTTTTTTGTTTGTTTGTTTGTTTTTTGTTTTGGGGGGGGTACCAGGGATCAAACTCAGGACCTTGTGCTTGCAAGGCAGGTGCAGTGCCACAGAGGTAAATCCCCAGCTATTCTAGCACAGTTTTAAGAATCAGTTTTTAGAAAGTATTTTCCATTTTGAAATAAGAGGGTAAATTCTCTTAAACTCTGTGTGTGTGTGTGTGTGTGTGTGTGTGTGTGTGTGTGTGTGTGTGTGTTATACTAGGGATTGAGCCTGGGAACTTGGACCCTTACATCCTCAGCTCTTTTTTTATTTTCTGTTTTGAGACAGGATCTCAAGTCACTGAGTTGCCCAGGCTGGCCTCAAACTTGTGATCCTCCTGCCTTAGCCTCTTGGAGTGTTGGGATTACAGGCATGAGCCACTGTGCCCTACTACTTATAAACCTTTTAGTATCTAAGGCCGTTTGTGTTTTCCATGTTAGAAAAAGCTAAGGAATTTCTCCATTTCTTTACAACTACTGAATGCTGGGGCTGGGGATTTAGTTCAGTGGTTCCACCGCCTGCCTCGAAAGTCCAAGGACCTGAGTTCGATACCCAGTACCAAAAAATCTACTGAATGACTCTGCACGTTTATGACCTCACAGAGTGTCTCAGACACCAGGGTGTGACAATGCATTTCTAGGTGTAGTATTACAACTCATAAGTTGGTGTGAATATGAAATCTTTAAAAAAATAAGTAGGCTGTTCAGAAGATAAATAATACCTTGATCCTTTGATATTCAAAGTATTTTATATATGTAATCTCATGTTTTTTCCCAGTTTTTATTTTTTCAAAATTGTCAAAACAGTGTATCTATTTAAGTCTCCTAAAAACATTTGTGTGTTTGTTTATTTATTTATTTATTTGAGGCAGGATCTCACTGTGTTGCCCAGGCTATATTTGAATTCCTGGGCTCAATCGATCCTCCTGCCTCAGCCTCCCCAGTAGCTGGCGCTATAGGCTTATATCACCGTGCCTGGCTTTTTAGCTTTAAAGCATCTTAATTCTATACATTAGCTTTATGTCATATCAACTTAAAATTCTTCATTTTGCTCAGTTTAATTCTATTTCATCCTTTTAAAACATTAATCAGATTTGTCATCCTACACTTGATCTTAGCCAAAAGGCCGAGAAGCGATAAATTTGTCATCCTAATAGATAACATAGATTAATTTACTTTGGTTTTTTTTTTTGGTACCGGGGATCAACTCAGGTCCTTGCGCTTGCAGCAGGCGGCAAAACCACTGAGCTAAATCCCCGGCCCTCTGGTTATTTCTATAGCAACCTCAAAGTACTTGCCAGGTGCCCTGTTGTCTTCTTTGTGTTGTGTAGTTTCTGAGGAAAACTGGATCAGTCTCTGTGCCCTGCGAGGGTGCTGTAATCTGCTTTGGGCCTTACTGCCTGTCCCCCTTCTCTGCAGTACTTTGACGAGCTCGGCGGGGTCCCAGCAGAGGACCTGGAGCGCTTTGGTGGCTCGGTGGAGATCGCGGACTACTGCCCTTTCAGCCAGGAGTTCAGCTGGCATCTGAGCGGCGAGTATCAGCGCAGCTCGGATTGCAGAATCCTGGAGAATCAGCCAGGTTAGCGGTGTAGCAAAAAGCGTTGCACACTCGGTGCCACCCCCGTGAGCACCGTGAGCCGTGGCAGAGGTGTGGTCCCTGGAACCTGGCAAGTGAGCTCAGGTGCTCAGCTGTGCCACGCTGCCGGCTCCCCCCACCCCAGCTCCCCGTCTGCACAGTGGGGCCGCTGACTGCTTAGGGCTGTGTCTGCCGGAAAGGGAAAGTGTGGGCGGCAGACACCCTAGGGTGTGGCACACGCCTGGAATCCTGGCCTCACCTCACACCCACAGGGCTCCTCACCTGGAAAGCACTTTCATTACTTCTCATTTGATTTTCCTCAAAACCTTAAAGCAGTGTAACGAAGCTATTACCATTTTTCACTGTGAGTGACCAGGCGCTAAGAAATACAGTTGATTGGGGTCAGTGCAAGATCCTCCAGCACAGGGGTCTTTTTATTAAAAGACCTCAGAGAACCTAGTTTTTCCTCTCCTGGGCAGAGTGTGTTTTATGTCATTTAGAAGTAACATGTCAGTCTTCAGATCTCAGGTAATGCTGTCTTCCCATGGCTAGTAAGAGATATTGCTGTGTCATTTATTTTCTTGATTCATGTAACTGAATAAGACATCAAAGGAGTAAGCAGTGGCCACAGGGTATTCTGTAAAAATAGTTGTAGCTCATACTAATTATCTTTGTAAATAGAAGTACTCCCTGATTTGATATGTTAATAAGAGCAAAGTTAAGTGGGCGTGGTGGAACACACCTGTAATCCCAGCACTCTGGGAGGCTGAGTCAGGGAGATCACAGGTTGGAGCCCAGCCTCAGCAGCTTAATGACTAATGAGTCCCTGTCTCAAAATACAAAAATAAGAACAAAAAAAAGAAAAGGCTGGGGATGTAGTTCAGTGTGAAGGTCTTGGGTTCAATCCTTAGTATCACCCCCCAAAAAAGAAGCAATAATTTGTTTTTTGTTCCTTTCAAAATTTTAAACCTAGTCTTCCCTACCTCCTCTCCAGCTTATTCTCTACTGTATTACAAACTAGATCATTTCATTTAAATTTTAAATTTCCATAGATTTATTTGACCCTTTATTCTTTTTAAAAATTTTATTAGTCTGTGTTTGCAGTACATAATGATTACATTCACCATAGGGAGTTGGTACATGTACATAACACATCTTAATTTTTTTTTTCTTTTCCGGTACCGGGGATGGAACTCAGGACCTTGTGCTTGCAAAGCGGGTGCAGTGCCACTGAGCTAAATCCCTGGCCCATAATTCTTTTTTCATCCCCTTCCTTCCCATTTATTCTTAAACATGGCAAATTTAACTGAATTTCTAATCATTTTTTCCCATCACACACCCGTTTAATAAATGACCTAAAGACTTAAGATGTAACTACTCAGAAGGTCCGCGTTCAAGCAGAAGAAATGCCCAGCTCTATCAGTGATGGAGGTCCTGGCGTTTTGCTGTGAACTATTTCAGGCCTTGCTTCCTGCGGTCTCCATAGCGATGCTTCCGCTTTGCAGTCTACAGAGTGCAGATGTGACAGGATGCAGTGTGTAATGAATGAGGGGTCAGGGTTAGGCCTCACGCCCAGAGTGAGCTGAACCCCAATCACCATGCTTTTCAGAGACTTGGAAACTCGTAATATACAGTTGTCTTTTATTGGGTTTTACTTTTTTTTTTTTTTTTTTGGTGTTTTGAGACTCTGAAGGCAGTGTCCAGACGCCTAGTGGTTCTTAGTGCCAAGTCCTGTGTATCTCACCGAGACCCTTTGGGCCCAGGTTCATCCCCTTGGTTCTGGTATAGTAATTTTTCACCCTAGTTCTGTTTTTGAGAACCCAGTTTGAGTTCGGAGTTTTGTTTATATTAATTTTTTTAATTTAAAATTTTCCATTAAACAAACTTAATTTTTAAAAATAGATTTTATTTATATGTTTATTTATTTTGGTTTTTTAAGACAGTCTTGCTATGTAGTTCAGGCTGGCCTTCAATTCATTTGTATGTAGCTCAGGCTGGCCTCGAACTCCTGGCAATACTCCTATCTCAGCCTCCTGAGTGCTGGGAGTACAGGTGTGCAACACCATGCCCTGATAAACAAGCTTGATTTTTTTTTTATTATTCATTAGATTTATGAGCTTGATTTTTAAAGCAACTGTTAATTATACAACATGAAGTGTTTTTATTTCATCTGCTTGTTTCTTTTGTTAAAAATCAGTTTTTGAGGACACTTTTCTGGTTTGCTTCAGAAATTTTGAAAAACTATGGTGCTGAAAAGTATGGACCTCATTCCGTTTGTCTGATTCAGAAATCGGCATTTGTCATGGAAAAGTGCGAGAGAAAACTGAGTTACCCAGACTGGGGGAGTGGATGCTACCAGGTAAACCATGTTGGTTAATAACAGAATTTTATTTCATATGGCTTTTACGCTTAAAATTATATTTTTTTTATTTTGGTTTTTTGTTTTTTGGGTTTTTTTGGTACCGGGGCTCAAACTCAGATCCTTGTGCCTGTGAGGCAGGCGACAGAACCACTGAGCTAAATCCCTGGCCCTTTAAATTATATTTGTATGCTTCAGATAATTTACTGATTAATACTTTATGTAATTATTACTCTAAATGATTGCATTTTGTGAAAACAGCATATTTCTTTGAGAAAAAAGATTACCTTTTTCCATTTGTTTGAAAATATATATTTTTGATAAGTTTCATAATAATTTTACTTCTGGGCATATATCCTACAGAAATAGTGGCAAATAAAGGCTAGGGATTTAGCTTAGTGGTGCCACCACCTGCCTCGAAAGCACAAGGTTCTGAGTTCAATCTCCAGTGCCACAAAAAAAAAAAAAAGTATTAGGGAAGGAAATAATGGCAAATATGTAATTTTGCTCTTGAACAAATACCCCTTTGCAATGGAAAAAATGTACAGTTTTATTTCAAAAGGTCTGAGGAAAGCATGGATTATAAGAATTAATAAATCACTGGGTGCAGTGCCGCACGCCTGTGATTCCAGCACTCAGGAGGCTGAGGCAGGAGGATCAGTCTGAGTTCAAGCCCAATCTGTACTACATAGAGAGGCCCTGTCTCAAAACCCAAAATAATAATAATAATAACGATGAGCCATCTGCTGATTAGTAATAGTTTTTTGGGTAGGAGTGTGGTCTGTTTTGTTTTGTTTTTCGTACTGGGGATCAAACTCAGGTCCTTGTGCTTTCGAGCAGGCAGTGGCACCACTGAGCTAAATCCCTGGCCCTAAAGTGTGGTCTTTTTAAAAACTGTTTTTTTAATTAATTTTTTTATTATTTATTTTTGGTACCAGGGATCGAACTTGGGACTTTGCGCTTGAGAGGCAGGCGGCGAAACCACTGAACTAAACCCCCATCCCCTAAAACTGTTTTATTTTGAGACAGGATCTTGCTAAACTTCCCAGGCTGGACTCAAACTGTTCATCATCCTGCCTCAGCCTCCCAGAGCTCTGGAATTACAGGCCTCCACCACCACACTTGGCTTGTTTTTTTTTTCTCAATGCTGGGATGCTAGGGATGGAACCCAAGGCCTCCATTACAACAGGCCAGATCAGTACCACGGAGCTACATCCCCAGCACTCATGTAGTACTTCTCATGGGGAGCACTTTTCTGAGTGTTCCCAGTATCAGTACCTACTATTTCTCATGACTGTAGAATGGAGGATCATTTCAGAATATTGTCATTCATAGTTACTTCCTTGTTACATATTGTGTTCCTTTTCATTTCTCACCATGTAAAAAAAGTGCTCTTATACATGTATTTCCAGGGCTGGCATGTAGTCAGTGCTAGAGCACTTGTCCAGCATGCACAAGGCCTGGGGTTCAATTCTCAGTTCCAGAGTGGTGAAAAAAACGCCACCTCCACCACCACTACCAACAAATGTTTATTTAAAAAGTTTATTAAGGGCCAGGGATTTTTAGCTCAGTGTTTCCGCCACCTGCCTCACAAGTTCAGGGACCCAAGTTCAATCCCCGGTACCAAAAAAAAAAACCCCAAAAAACAAAAAAAGTTTATTAACATACAGTACTTTATTTTTTAATGCAGTACTGGGGCATATTTTACTGTGTTGAAATAAGTTTCCATAAGGGAGAAGTTAGGGTTACAGAAGATGAAGCTAGAATAGAAAAGTGATTTTTTCAGGCTCTTAATCTTTTGTAACCTCTACCATGATGAAGGATTTGTACAGATTTATAACACTGTCAACAAAGATTGAGTGCACTTGGCTTCCCTGTACCTAATGTTGTCACTTAACTTTGTTATTTAATACAAGACCATTGATGTGGGAAAATGTATTGGATTTAACAAATTTGATTAGCTGTTTTTGATTTTTTTTTTTTTAACTTATTTTCATAAAAAAGTTGCAAAAATGGTGTGTTGGTCAGCTTTCCCACTGCCAGGACAAAAGGCCTGACATGCCCAGCTTAAAGGAGAGGTTTGCTTGGCCCATGTTTTGGGGGGTTCAGGCCATGGCCGGCCACTCCAGGCAAGAACAGCAGCATGGCAGAAGTGCAGAGCACAATGTTCAATCAGTTCCTACTTAAAAGAATGATTACATTTTAAAAAAATGATTACGGGGGCCGGGGATTTAGCTTAGTGGTTCCAGCGCCTGCCTCATAAGCGCAAGGTTCTGAGTTCGATCCCCAATACCAAAAAAAATGATTAACATTAAGCTGGATGACATTTATTAGATATGGGACAGTGAGTGACACACTAGTGGAAGAGGTCACACTTTGTTGTTGGTTTTTGTTTTTGAAACAGGGTCTTACTACGTAGCCCAGACTGGTCTCAAACTTGTAATCCTCCTGCCTCCGCCTCCCAAGTTCTAGGATTACAGGCCTGTGACACCACACCCATCTTTGTTGTTTGTTGTCTGATAGTTTATTATAATTTAAATTACCAAATGAGTGTTATATTTCAACTTCACTGACAGAGTTATTTCAAAAATGACTCTCTTGTTCACATATACTTTTGGAACTCCTCTTTTGCCCTTCAGAGTGGTTGCATAGCTGTCTAAGAAAATCAGTCTTAGTATTTTACATTACCTTTGGGTTAAAACTTATATTAACCAGTTTAGTCAACTACCTTTACCCGACAACTCTGGTCTGTTTCCAAAAACTGCATCTTTTGCAAAGGACCAATCTGCCACCATCAGACATATTCAGAAGCAGGTGAAAAAAAAAAAAAAAAAGGTGTAGACTTTGGAGGTTGTTCTGAGAGAAGTTCCTGTGATGTTCAGAGTGAAGTAGCCTAATTCAGAGCATCACGAAGTCTTTGTTGAAAACAACTTTGAAAAAATATTAATTTTAAAATGTTTTAAAAGTTAGCTTTCGTGTGTTTACTTTTTAAAATTTGTTTCACTAGTTCCCCTCTAGTTGAGACTTGTACCAGTGTGGAAAAATCACTGAGATCATTTTTGTTTCTGAACAGGAGGTCTGGGCTAGGGAGAAAGATGAAGAATTTTTACTGTGTACATTTCTATGCCATATGCTGTCTGTCTGTCTGTCTGTCTGCCTGCCTGCCTGTCTGCCTCCCTGCCTATCTATCTTATCTGGCTTTTTTTTTTTTTTTTTGGTGCCAGGGATTGAACTCGGGACCTTGCACTTGCGAGGCAGGTGGCGGAACCATTGAGCTAAATCCCCGGCCCCTTATCTGGCTTTTTGAGTCAGGGTCTCAGTATGTAGTTCAGGCTGGCCTCAAACTCATGGCAATCCTCCTGCCTCAGTCTCCTGAGTGCTGTAATTACAGGTGTTTACCACCATCCCCAGCCTATGCCGTAGTTTTAAACAAATGAATATACACTATTTTAATAATTCACATAACTAATAAAATTTGGATTACAAAACTAGTGACTCGTGGGTAGTGTGATGAGCATGAAGGCTGACAGATTTAAGCTGTCATATCCAAGGTTCTGGGGTCTGTAGAAACGTTATTCTTCATAACTTGGCTTCAGGGGTCTGAATTCAAATTGCTAGGCTCATTGTTTTTGGTACCGGGGATCAAACTTGGGACCTTGTGTTTGAGGAGCAGGTGGCTAGGCTCATTGTTTGATGGTGCATGCCTGTAATCCCAGCACTTGGGAGGCTGAGGCAGGAGGATCACGGTCAGTTTGAGGCCGTCCTGGACTACATAGTGAGGCCCTGCCTCAAAAAAATCCCCAAACTAAAGAACTATTATGATAGAGTGAAAAATGAAATTTTATTAGAACCTAAATAGCTTAACCCACTTCCTGTGTGTTAAGAAATGCCCACATCCCAGATTGTGGTTTATAGCCAATGTTTTTAGTAAGTTTTAGTGTATTTTCCTAGAGTGCAGGAAAATTCTCAAAGCCTACACTCTTACTGACTTGATTTCTTTTCCCCTCTGTTGGCAGATCTCTTGTTCTCCTCAAGGTCTGAAGGTCTGGGTGCAGGACACAGCGTACCCATGCAGCCGAGCCGGGCAGGTCCTCCCCGTCAGCATTCAGATGAATGGCTGGATCCATGGCGGGAACCTGCTTTGCCCGTCCTGCTGGGACTTCTGCGAGCAGTGCCCTCCGGAAACAGACCCTCCGGCTGCCAACCTCACCCAGGCGCTGCCCCTCGGTGAGTGCTCGCTCTCTGCGGTCCAGGAGGGTGGGAGGCAACAGAGAACCCTGCCTCTGACAGCTGTGCAGCAAGTTGGGCTTCCGTCCTGTGGGAGGACCTCCTTCCCACCATGATTAGAAATCCATGCTGAGTGCACTGGAGAGGTAAGGCAGGAGGACCACTGTGAGTTCAAGGCCACCTTGGACTACACAGTGGGATCCTGTCTCAGAAAGAAAAAAAAAGAAAAGAAATGGAAGGCAGGTGAGCCTGCGACGTTTATTCAGTGAAAAAGCATACTTGCTGTGTGTAGGGCCTGACTTGCACGAAGGTCACAGAGGAAAAGATTCATCCATTCATGTTGGAATTAAAGTAAACAAAATTCTGCTTATTAAATCAAAGAGCAATGAAATAATTTCCATTGCCTCATAAGCAAGTGAGGCACAGGTGAGGGGAAAACCCTAGAGCAGGTTCTCCTCCTTTCTAGGAGGAGAGAGGAAAGGACCAGCTAGGGAAGAGGCCTTTGTCCTTGTCCAAAGTGTTCAAACTGAGGCTCCTGGCCCTTGCTAAGATCACCAGGCAGGATTCATGAATTCTCAACTAACACTGATTTCAGGGACTGTGAGAGTCTGTGGCAGATCAGCATTTTAGAATAGGAACAGTGAAAACCTTTTGGAGTGTTTTATTTTCTCACCTGAAGGTATTTATAAAATGAAACTGCACTGTCCTTTGCCTGTTCCGGGGGTTGATTGAAAATAGCCGACCACGTCTATTTAAGTGAAAGTTTCTGCACGTCTGAGATTAGCTTCCTCTCTTTCCTAAGTCCTAGGGGCTCCGTCCCCAGGGGCTATCCGAAGAGTGGAGCTGGGGAGATCAGTGCTGGTAGTGGGCATCCACAGCCGTGTCGTCAGGGCTTAGGTGTGTGAGAGGGAAAGGGCACGGGCAGAGTAGCTCAGCACCAGCTTTGCAAGAACTGCTAGGGTAGCAGTCTCAGTCCTGCTGTGTCCAGACTGTTTCCTACCGAACTTCACTCAGCTGGGTATTCTTTTTCTTTTTATTAAGTTTATGGGGACATTTTAGGTATACAGTACAGTTACGTTCATCATTGGGATCTTGCACCTTTACATGATCTATCTTGGTTCTTATTTTTTCCCCATTCCCCAGCCCTCCCTTCACCCCCTCCATCCCTCCCTATTTACAAATAATTTGTTTCCATTTTTTTCCTTTTCTCATATTTTTCTTTTCCCTACGCCTCCCTTTCCCCTATTCCTTTAAACCTTTTCTTCCTATTTCACAATATCATTTATATATTTTGATCCTTATTTACACCAGAGAAACTATTCGGTATTTACACATGTGCGTCCTATTTATTTTACTTAAGAGTATGGCCTCAATATGCATCCACTTAGCTATAAATGTCTCTAGTTTCTCTTTCTTTATGGCTGAGTAGTACTCCATTTTATAAAAGAACCACATCTTTAACCAGTCTCCAGTTGATGGGCAATTGAACTGTTTCCATGTTTTAGCTATTTATTACAAATTGTGCTGCTGTAAACATGGGTGCACATATATCACTGTGATATGATTCTTTTAATTCTTTTGGGAAGATACCCAGCAGAGGAATAGCTCTGTCAAATGGGACTTCCAATCCTAGTTCTTTGAGGTATCTCCATACTGATTTCCACAGTGGTTGCACCAGTCTGCACTCCCACCAACAATGGAGCAGGGTTCCTCTTTCCCCATAGCCCCGCCAGCATTTGTTATTGGTTGATTTCTTGATAGCAGCCATTCTTTCTGGGGTGAGGTGGAATCTCAGCATTTTTTTCATCTGCATCTCTCAAATGACCAGTGATGATGAACATTTTTTCATGTTTATTTGGTTCTTTTACTTCATTATCTGAGCAATGTCTGTTCATTTCAGATGCCCATTTTTGAATTGGGTCTTTATGTTTGGAGGGTCTGATTTTTTTGAGTTCTTTATATATTCTAGATAGTAGACCTTTGTCTGAGGAACAGCTGGTAAAAATTTTACTCAGCTGGGTTTTCTGTAGTTATAACAGTAATGATGCATTGAGCTCTTTGAAATAATATAGAATCTTAGGTCCTTTGATATGGTATATAATAAATATGATGTTAAATATGCTCAGTTAACTCTTCAAGAGTAGAGCTAGTAGGAAGACAATTTTACTGTTATTAAATTGCTTTGGTGAGAATTGGAAGGCTGCTGGTGCATAAATAGTTCTATAGAGTTCCCATCCTTAGACCTAGTCCCAGATTTAACCGTAAGAAACTCAGGCCAAGGTGGTGCGTGCCTGTCTTCCCAGCTGGTAGTGGCTTTCGGGGTGCTGGCATCTCCTGGAGGTGGTCTCTAGGTTCTTTCTGTACTGAGCAGAGAATTGGTCAAGAACAGCACAGACGGTAGCAAAGTATTGTTAAAGGTAGGAAAAGAAACAGGCTCTGCAGAGCGTTTGGACCAAGTAAAAATAGAAAAAGAAGTACACTCTACAACATGAGGGCAGGCCACCACGCAAGAGCAAACACAGTGGTGAACACTCAACCTGGACCGTCCTTTTTGTGTCACCCCCTCCTCAGGCTGGCGTCAGGTTTTGGCCAACCTGTTGAAAGCCTGCTCCAGTTCTCCCGGGAAGCCCACGTGCAGAGCCTTGGAAATGCTCTGTGCACCTGTCCGGGGATCTTGTCACGCTTCCTTTCCCTGCCAGCTTAGCTACGCCCTACTTTCCTGTCACACAGCTCTGTGCCAGGAGGCCCCACAAGGTTGAGACCAGCTTAGGGAATTTAGTGATCCTGTCTCAAAACAAAAATAAAATGGAGTGGGGCCGGGAATTTAGCTCAGTGGTGCCGCTGCGTGCCTCACAAGTGCGAGGTTCGAGCCCTGGTACCAAAAATAAATAAAAATAAAAATAAAAATAAAATGGGGTGTGGTGGCATAGGCCTGTAATCCCAGCACTTGAGAGGCTGAGGCAAGAGGACCACCACAAGTTTGAGGCCAGCCTGAGCTACACAGTGAGTTTAAAACCAGCCCGAATTAACAGAGCAAGACCCTGTCTTCGCAAAAAAAAAAAAAAAAAAAAAATTATTGCTGTGGATGTAGCTCAGCTCAGTGAAGAGTGCTTGGTTCAATCCTCAGTTCTGGGGGGAAAAGAAGAAGAAGAAAGAAAAAGAAAAGAGTCAGCATCTCATTGTCAGAGATAAGCAAGGATTCAGGCCATTAGGATAGTTGAGGGGCGCGAGACTTGGAGGGCAGGAGGAGAATGTGGAGGAGGAGGAGGAGGAGGAAGCAAGACCCCCGGGACTGAGACTGTGAGGGTCCTGCCTGGGAGCTTGAGGACAAGTGAATCTGTTGGAGGAGGCTGGGCAGTGGGGAATGCAAACCACTGAGTCCCTCAGCAGCTAGCTCCTGGCCCTGCTTTCTCATTTCATGCCACCTTCATGGCTCTTTTGCTATGATTTATTCTATTTTTTTATTATTATTTTTGAGATAGGGTCTTGCTATTTGGTCCAGGCGGGCCTTGAACTCACTGTGTAGCTCATGGTGGCCTCAAATTCTTGGCAATTCTCCTGCCTCAGCCTCCCGAGTACTTGGATTACAGGTGTGCACCACCACTCCCAGCTATGATGTGATTTATTTTTATTTTAACTTACAGTTCTGTCAGTTATAACATCCAAATCACTAATGTAGTTTTGAGAAATGTGCAAAACTTTGTAAGCATCACTGTTGAAATCCCAAAATATCCCGATCTCTCATATTTGTGAATCTGTGTGATTTCCAAGCATACACAGGACTTTCACTCCACACCTACTAAACTGTGCACCAGGGACCATAACAGAATTTACCTGTGCTCTTTTAGGTAAATTGTTTCTCTGTAATACAGTTTTTATTACCTGCCAAATTGTAAAACTATTTGATACTTTAAATATATTTGTATGAACCCAGGCATGGTTGATAGGAGAACTATGAGTTACATGGCAGTTCTTTTTTTTGGTACCAGGGATCGAAGTTGGATCTTTGTGCTTGTGAAGCAGTTCTTTTTTTTTGTTTGTTATTTGAAGTAGTGTCTTACTATGTAGTTCAGGCTGGGCTCAAACTTGCAGTGATTCTTCTGCTTCAGCCTCCCTAGTGCTGCAATTACTGGGATGTCCCACCATGCCTGGCAAAGTCAATAATTTTTTTTTTTTTTGGGTACCGGGGATCAAACTCGGGTCCTTATGCTTGTGCAGCAGGCAGCGAAACCACTGAGCTAAATCCCCAGCGCAGTCAATAATTTTTTTTTTTTTTTGAGACAAGGTCTTGCTATGTAGTTCAGGCTGCCCTTGAACTCCCTGTGTAGCCCAAGCTGGCCTTGAACTTGAGGCGATCCTCCTGCCTCAGCCTCCCAAGGCTGGGAGTACAGGCACGCGACACCACACCCAGCCAAAGTCAATAAATAGTGATTTAAGCAATTTCATATGTTGTTATTCCCTCAGCTGCCTATTAAGGTCCTCTTAGTTCCTCTAAAGCTTGAGTCAAGGTTAACTTACAAGGGAGTCCTTTTTAAAGAACAACTCTGTCACTCTGAGAAGCTAAGGCAGGAAAATCACTAAGTTTGAGCCAGCCTAAACTACATAGTGAGACCCTATCTCAAAAAACAAAAATGAAAATGGAGAACTGCCATGTAATTCATAGTTCTTCCATCCACCCACACAACCCACAATTTTTTATTTCAGCTTCCTTTATCCCTCCTTGAATTATGGATGTCCTGGTGACAACTTGCAATTCCCCACCTAAGATCTTCACTGTTCATAATTTAAAAGGACAACTCATCTAATATAAGGCCAAGTTGGCCTTTACTCAATTACTAAAAAAGGATTTCCAGCTGGGCATGGTGGTGCCCAGTTATAATCCCAGCACACAGGAGGCTGACTCAGGAGGATCACTGTGAGTTCGAGGCCAGCCTGGACTACATAGGAAGACCCTGTTTAAAAAAAAAGAAAAAAAAGTATTTCCATTAGAAAATTTTAGGGAGATGGTCTATCCATGAAAACAGTTCTGTAGATAAATTAAAATATCCTCCTCATACCCAAAGCCCATGGGACCTTCTACTGTTTTCCAATCATGCTTTGGGTGAAATGGATGATGGGTATTTATTTGGATCCTCACCCCATACCAGGGATTGAACCCAGGACCTTGCACTTGTGAGGCACCACTGAGATAAATCCCTGGCCCCCTTATTTGGATTTTTTGAGACAGGGTCTTGCTATGTAGCCCAGGCTGGACTCAAACTTCTGGTGATCCTCCTGCCTCAGCCTCCTAAGTACTGGGATTATAAGTGTGCACCACCACATCTGGCGGATATATATTTAGAAATAAGGAACCATGTGTCCCGGTTTGTCAAAATAGTCCTCACGCCTCTTGTGCTGCTGTAATTATTAATATTGTCCTTTGTGTTCTCCAAATGCACTGGTTTGGAGATAAGCTATGTGGTCACCCTACATACCAAGGGACAGGAGGAATAAAAGCAGAGAGCGCCTGCTCCCTTTTCAGGATGCCAGCTCATTTGTGTCTCTGCTGTCATCCGTAGCTTCCCTGGATTCTACCCTAAGGCACATCTTTTCACGGGTGCTGTTTTGTAACCATGACACGGAGGGTGCATCTCTTCTTCCTCCATGTATATTGTTTCCATCACATAAAAACCTTACAGATCGGGGTTTCAGGGAGTCACGCCATCAGTCCCCATCCCCTCTCCTCACCTGTCAGGGTGTGGCCGCTAGGACTTTATCATGGGAGCCTCTACCGACAGTCACTCTGCTCTTTTCCATCCTAGATCTCTGCTCCCGCTCCTCCAGCCTGGTGGTCACGCTCTGGCTGCTGCTGGGCAACCTGCTTCCTGTGCTGGCTGGAGTCCTTCTGTGCGTGTGGCACTAGGAATGGTAGAGCCCCTCTGTGTCACACTCCTGTGGACAAAGCACAGACCCGGGCAGGTGCCAGCCTGTGCAGGTGACAGCCAGGACCAGACCCCAGAGCAAAGCTTCACGCCATTCACTCCCTGGCCACCCTCATCTCAGAGCTCAGAGGAGGAGAAGGAAACCAAGTCACCGAGTCGCTCTGCTCAAAGGACGCAATGTCTCCCTGCTGTTCTTGATCTCATACCTCAGGATCTCCTCCAACCTGAAATGATGGGAAGCTCATCATCAACACTGGAGAGCAAGACAGCAGCTAATTCTGGCAGGATGATAACTTGTGAGCTGGGCATGCAGCCGCACACCTGTGATCGCAACACTTAGGAGGCTGAGGCAGGAAGTTTGCCTTGAATTCAAGGCCAGGCTGGACTACATAGTGAGACCCTGTCTCAAAAAACAAAGCAAAACAATTATAACCCAGGACAATTATAACTTGTCCTCAGAAGTATAAGTGAGATTTACAGAAAACAATTCAGTTGGGATTTCTCCAATGCTGTTATACCTGTTTAAATGTAGTGGCTATATATGGTACACTTAAATCGTTGTTCTCATTGTGATGTTTAAGGAGTTTTCACCTCTCTCTTGATGAATCTTACAAATTAACCAACCTTGCCTTTTTTGACAGCGGCCCTGCTGTCCATGTACGTAGCTTCCGTCCACCTGTGCTCACTGTTAATTTAGCGGTGACCTGAAAAACCCTTGGAAGCAGAGAGCATGAAATACGCTGCCCTGAAAAAGCACGGAAGACGTGCAAACACAACGAAACGGTACTTTTTCAGATAACAGCTGTGACAACTGGAATCCAGCACAAACAGAACTGTTGTATTCCGTTTTGTCCAGTGTAGATGGAAAGAAATTCTGGTATAGACAGGCATGGAATTATTTTCAGGTGGGCTAAGAAATTTTTACAGAAGGATTTCTAATGTCTGAAAATTCTTTTACGAATAAGAAGAAAACTACAAGTCAAACCAGAAGGTCGGGGTTGTCGTGGTCTGCAGGAGCTGGAAGATTGCCTTCACTGTCAGCATCTGTTTGTGCCCAGGTTTGACTCGTCTTACCACACGGCTCTGTGAGGTAGTTCTCTTGTGGTACCAGAGCTCACTTACCCCATTTAATCATTCTCTGATGATGATGATGATTTTGGTGCTGGTGGTGGTACTAGGGATTGAACCCCAGGCCTTTACACTGAGCTACATCTCCAGCCTTTTAAAAATTTTTTACTTTGAGATAGAATCTCACTAAGCCCTTCATTTGCCGAGCCAAGCTTGAATTTGCAATCCTCCTGCCTCAGTCTCCTTGAGTGCTGGGATTACAGGCACATGCCACCACACCTGGCTACTCTGAAGTTCTTTAATGATGGGTGCTGCTCTGTTTTCCTCTCAAACTAGTGAATTCCTGTGGCATTATAAACACAGCCCTTGCATTCAGCATATAGTTATTGAGTACTCCAGTTGTTACAGGAGTGGTGGTTTAGGCCTATAGTCCCAGTTACTTGGGAGGCTGAGGCGGGAGGATCACAATTTCAAGGCCAGCTTGGGCAATTTAGCAAGACTGTGTCTCAAACAAACAAACAAAAATAGGGTGGGGCTGGGGGCTGAGGCTGTAGCTTAGTGGTGCAGGGCATGCCCCCTATAGGTGAGGCCCTGAGTTCAATCCCTAGTATTGCCCCCCAAAAAGAAAATTGTGCTAAGCCAGCAAAGCAGCATAGTTCTTACTAGGGCGTAATTCCAACTGGCTACATAGCACTAGAGCTAGATAGCACCCTCAGCATAAAGTGACTTTTGAAAATGCTTACATGGGGCCAGGAGTTAGCTCAGTGGTTCCGCCACCTGCCTTGCAAGCACAAGGTCCCGAGTTTGATCCCACCCCCCAAAAAAATGCATACATGTAAAATATGTACTGAGTGTGGTACCATTGAGAGGCTGGTGCTCCCGTCATCACCCTGCTGCAGGGAAGCAGGTAGTGATGGTCCCCAGGCTACTTTAAATTGTGCAAGTCAGGGCCAGGGATTTAGCTCAGCGGTTTCGCCTCCTGCTGCGCAAGCCCAAGGACACGAGTTTGATCCCCGCTACCAAAAAAATATATAAAAATAAATAAATAAACAAATAAATTGTGCAAGTCAGAGGAGAGTGAAGGTAGATTTTTTAAAGAAACATAATCTCAACTTCCATGCCTGTTACAATTACAAATAATCTCCCAGTGTTGTATAAAAAAATTCACCAAAAAATAGCATGGGCTCCTAATATATTGAGACTCACCACGACAGGCCCAGCTGTATTGTGACTGTTGTGCAGTGACACCATTTAGGTAGTGTTGTTTCCAAGCATGGTGCTTTTTATACTTGAAATATATTTTTGCTTTATTTTTTATTGATATAATTATATTTGCACTAATGATTTTGGAGAAAATACTATAGATGACTTTTTGTATATATATTTATTAAGCTTGGAATCTGGTAGCCTAGAGTTTTCTCTGCACAAACATGAAACTTGATGTCAGGGACCAGTGAACTCCCGAAGGTGCTCGCTGCAGCAGCGTGTCTCCCTTCTTTAGAAAGGCGTGCATGGGCTGCCTCCAGTTCTGTACTGCGCACTCAGCAAGGCACTGAACTGTGGCAAATTTTAAGAGGCATATTTGAGTCACTTAGAATATGAGAACAAAGGAAAGACTTCTAAATTCTGAGATTTCGAGCTGGGCATGGTGGTGCACACCTGTAACTCCAGCACTTAGGAAGCTGAGGCAGGAGGACCCCTGTGAGTTCACAGCCAGCCTGAGGTACATAGTGACCCTCTCAAAAAAATTTTTTTTAAATAAATCTTGGGCCAGGTATTTAGCTCAGTGGTTCCAGCACCTGCCTTGCAAGTGCAAGGTCCTGAGTTCGATCCCCAGTACCAAAAAAATAATAATAATAAATAAAATCTGAGATTTCAGTGCAGAATTATTGATATAGAACTCAGGTGTGAATGAAGAATTTGAAGTGGCTCAAATGTTGGTACTGTGTGGCAGGCCAGGCCCTTCGAGTCAGAGACCAAACCAGTTCCCTGTGCAGGAGAGCACACGGGCTGCAGCATGGTGGAAGTAACAGGGACAGGGGAGAAAGATGAGGAGCAGCTGACTTGGGGACGGGAGACTGGAGTACCTTCCCAACTCAGAAGAGGTCAAGTACTTGTACACACTACCTCAGTTTTCAGTTCCTTTATATTGCTTTAAGATCCCAGTTACCAAAACTGAATTCATCCCAGGTTTTCAAGAACAGGATTCACAGGAAGAAGCCAAAGACATGTCACGGCCTAAAGCTGGCCACCAGTCTGGTCGGCATCATAAATCCTGGTGCTTTGCTCCAGGAAAGTGGCCTTTTTCTTGGCTTATTTCTAAATCAATAACTCATGCATTTTCCATAAGATACTCTTTGTTAAAAGTAACTAGACATTGTAAAAGCGCTATATGTAAATTCTGCTTAACGTTAGTTTCCGCCCTATGTTGACTTGGAGTTTATCACTATTGGAAGTGGAAATGTAATGTTATGAGGGTTCAGTCATTTAGGCATCAATAGGCAAATCAGACTATTCCTGACAGCTTTACCAGTGTTCTGTTTCCTGATCGAGGCCGTCTTCGACACAGCAGGTAACTTCCAGGAACCCTCCCAGCTCCCCGGTGCTGTGCCTGACCTTCATCCGACAGCTCGTGGACCACGCCTGCTTCCATGTGGCTCTCATCACAGTGTCTTGTGCTCCTTGGACACCAAAGCGACAGAGAAGAGCCCGACTCCCAGGGCAGCTATGTAGTGCAGGAGGAGGAGGACGACGATAGTCACAGCCCATCTCACGGTGGCACTTGTCACCCTGCCATGACCTTGCAGCCCAGCGGACTAATGTGTTTCAGTAAAGCCTGCTTCTCATTGTGAAGAGAGATCTCACCTAACAGGAAGAGTTTATAAATATATATAAATATATAAGGTTAATGAATTATTTTACATTTACATTTTTTAATAAGTCAAATAGAAGATTTGAGAATGATTATTTATGGTATTGAACTTTAAGTGTAATATATTCCCTAGAAATACACAGCTTTAGGGCTGGGGATTTAGTTCAGTGGCGCTGCGCCTGCCTGGCAAGCGCAAGGTCCTGATTGATCCCCAGTACCAAAAAAAAAAGAAATACACAGCTTTAAATAAAAATGGAAACTGATTTGTGTCTTATCTTTAACACCATCAAATTTTTTTAAAAAGCAGGTTCAGGAACACAAATACAGTCATGCATTCTGTTTGGGGAAGATGTTTATTATGAAATGTAATTGAATTTTTCCTTAAACATGAGTGAACTGTCCACTTACAGATGGGGCAGACCTGGTGTAAAGCCATGGGGCGCCATCCCAGGCTGAGCAGGAAGCTGCACAGGCGGAACCGACTCCCAGGACAGGTTGTCCTGAACTCTACACATGCAAGCTGCACATTTTACCTGGTGTCCCCAGCAGACTGGCTAGAGGCTGTGATTGTACCCGGTGACCTGAGGGTGGCGTAAGAGGAGCCAAGCATGTTATGAAACTGATCAGACGTAACTGTGCCCTAACAGCTGAATTTCTTTCTGGGAATTTTATAACATTGACATTTTTTAAAAGTTTGAAATGTTCCATGTAAGTAGTTAAAACTATGTACAACAAATTACTTAATGTAGTTGAATACAGTATTTCCGCAGCACACTGAAGATAAAGAGCCATCCTTAGCTCACATAAGACCTTGTTTACACTAGCTCTTGGGGAGGCCATTGAATGTTTAGGGAGCCTTTTACATAGTCTTTTGTTCAAAACCTGTCCAGTAGATTTTTTGAAATGGAGGGATTTATTTAAATCAGGTTTGATGTGTTCACTTCCGCACCACATACACTAAGTCAGTTTGAACCTGGGCAAGAGGGCACACACCTGGAATCCCAGCTACCCTTGAGGGTGAAGCAGGAAGATCACAAGTTTGAGCCCAGCCTGGGCAACTTAGTAATTTAGTGAAACTCTGACTCAAAATTAAAAAGATTTTTAGAAGGGAGTCTTGGGGATATAGCTCAGCACAAAGGCCAGGGCTCAATCTCTAGTACCACAAGAGAGAGAAAGGGGAGGGGGAGTTTAGCCTCTTTCTTTGGAAAATACTGAAC